CCCCCACCACAAACACTCTCTGTCGCACAACTTCTTCTCATTCCTGGAACCAGGCGCGCAATCGCCAGCGGAGGAGCTGCACACGCTGCCTGCCCCCATACCGGTGAGCCCGTGGATGCCCATCTCGCCATTCCCACAAATGCATGGGGAGCAAAAGGCGGAAGCCGAAAATGGAGAGCGTGTGGACGTGTCGGTGCGATCGAAGAGCCCTATTGGGAGAATACGGTCTCCTCCCAACATTGCGCCGGAGGCGGTTGGGGTTTCGATAACGCAGTTCCTCCTCGGTGTCTGGCTGTGGATTACAGGACAGCAAGTGGGGTCCCTGTCGTGTACTGGGCTTGGGTACTGGATCGTATTTGATGCGCTTGGGGTCGTCCTAGCACACGTTCTTCCAGGATACCTTGCCAGGCCGTCGACAACAGCGGAGATTCGCAGGCCATTTGGGTGGGTTGCTTGACTGCCGTGTTTTCTCCGCTGTTGATGCCAGTTTGTCCCCAGAAACGCGCGCGTAGAAACAGTGGCCATGTTCGCTCAGTCAGTCTACTTGCTATTTGCCTCGGTTTACGTGTGCAAAGAGACTGTTGAGCACATCCTTCTTTCGTCCGGCGAGGGACATCATCACCATCATGGCGACGAGGTAGCAGAATTCTTCGGGTGAGTGAATAGCATGTGTACTCCTTTTCTCAAATCAATGAACGTCTAATCTCCTACAGCATTGAATTTCCTACTGTACTGCTAGCTATTACATTCTTTTCATTATCCTTGACTACTATCGCATACAATAATCACTCCAAGTTCGTCAGCAGTGCGTGCCTGTTTTCTTCCTTCGGCGAGCCTACAGAACTGAAGCCTTCGCAACAGCGGCGGGCAACCACATCCCTCCTTGGATATCCCTGCTACCATCTCGCTATCGATACTTCGTGGTATCATACACGTATCCACCCCGTTTAGTCAACCTCCTTTCCAATCCGTATGCACTCACGCCCATTATTCTCTCCCTGACCCTCCTGTTCGGACCGGGATTCATCCCAACGTGAGGGCTTTGGTCCTAGCGCGGTTCAATAGCTGACGGACATCACGTAGATACCAGCATCGTTATTTCGACCTGATGCTCGCAGGTGTCGAGACCGTGGTGACTTTCAGCCTAGCATACACCGCAGCCGTTGCCTTTGGAGCAACGCTCTTGCAAACGTCGCCTGCAAGAGGCCTTGCGGGCGGGAGGATGGAAGCGTTCCTTCGAGCCATGCGAGAGGTCTGTCGGCTGTCGTTCGAATGCTCTCTCTGATCTCATCCGAACGCTCCATTCAGATCGAGCGCCATCCTCAAGTCCTGCACCTGCCTGCTCCACATATATGGCAGCTTACGCCTAACCTTACGCTCCCTCAAGATCAGTACACTTACACGCATAATGCACCCGTGGTCGAGAGTAAGACGCAGGGCCCCGCGCAATCGCTCGTCGTGACGCTGGAGCTGCACGTGAGAGGAGATCTGGAGGACGAGGAGGTCCTGCGCCTGACGAGGTGGGCATGGGAGCGGTGCTCTCATGCGCTGCACTTCGGGTCGAGAGGTGGAGAGGGCGGGGAGGCAGAAGCCGAGATCACCGTGGGCGTTGTGCGGGACTGAGCTTTCGCGGCCAGGACTATCATAGGCAGGGTTGTTCCAGCGGGCGGGTTTGGATGTATTTATACAGTTTGCTTCGTGTCTATATACCCATTCGTTGAGGTTCACGCGATGTGGGTGGATAGCACCTCTATGCATCGAAGAATGGCATTCTACCAGAGGCAAGTATCTACAATCACTTTTTGCCTTTGGCAGGTGCTTTCCCTTTTCCTTTCCCGAAGGATTTACCTTCAAAGCCGGGACGTGCCTTGTTCTTCGTCTTGACACCTTTGCGCTTGTCGTTTCTCCTCTCGTTGCGCATGGCAATGTTGTCCGCTCGCTTCTTTTGCTTTGCCACCATGGATGTATGCAGCTGCTCCTTCCGCTCATCCCTGTATCATTACTTCCACTCAGCTTTCAGCTTGGAATTAGAAAAACCACACGCACCAGGTCTTTTTGCTCTTTGTCTTCTCTTTCTCCTTCCTTTTAACAGCTTTCTTGAGTCTGCTCTCGTCATCATGCACCTTCACACCCTCCATCCGCGCTTCCGCTTTCTCCCACTTCTGCTTTTCTTCTAGAGTCTTTCGCTTCTCCTCCGGCATGGCCGCCACCTTTTCCTTGCGTATTTGTAGTTGCTGGAGAGCCTGGGTGGGATTCGACGCGGTCTTCAGATGCTGTCCCTTCTTGCTGCTCGATGAGCCCGCGAGTGCAGAAAACGCAACATTCGTGTACGAACTGCTAGGCCCGTTCGACGGGCCTGGCCTATTTGAATCGGGAACGAGTAGTTGCGTCTGTAAGTGCAGTCAGCATCTGAGAAAGCACACAGTAAGGAATCTCGCCTTCGTGGACGGCCCCTTGTCTCGGTTATTGTCCTTCTCTTTATTCCTGCCCTTGCCCTTAGTTTCTTCCTCTCGCCTGATTTTCTCTCTTGTCTCCTTGCGTCTCCGTTCCCGCATCGCCGCACGCTGCTGCCTCCGCTCCTCCAGCAGTTCGTCCCTGCTCCCTGCTTCGCCGTTCTCGTAGCCCTTTCCTCCTCGCTTCAACTGGGCCATCCGCGCATGCAGCTTGTCACGCAATGCTTGAATGCCACTCGACGCGTCCATGGGCACCAGCGCAGGCTCGGAGGGCCGTGCCCGGTCGTCTTCATCATCATCAGACCCCCCGTCTTGCATGTCGACATCCACATCGAGGTCAATGCCATCGTCGTCCTCGTCTGACTCGGGCATGGCGACTTTTTGCTTGCCTTTGCCTTTCTTATTCGAGTGGCTGCTCTTTTCTGACTGCTTGCGAGCTTCATCCTGGATGTCTAGTACAGTCTTGTGATTCGCAGGATCAAGCTGTAGAGAACAGTCCGAATTTATATAAAAGGCCGAATTTTTACAAGGGACCCGGAACACACCTTTTCTCGTTTTGCCTTCTTCGACGCCTCCTTGATCGCTTGCTTCGGGGCATTTTCCTTCTTGCTGTGCTTCTGATACTTGGAGTTGATCTAGTTTAGTTAGGCGAGATTCCACAGAAAACTGGAGGGTAAGCTACAGGGTGCACTTATGGTGGAAGGAAACTTGCCTGATCCTCCGTCACTTCTTGAACGAGGTAATATCTGGCAGGGATAAGCTTAAGGAGCGACTCGAAAGTAGCATTATGTGTCTCCAGCGACTTTTTGAGGTCAGCTGTAGACGAAGACATGATGCCAGGGTAGTGGGATTTGAGCAAGGCTGCCCAACTTGAAAGTGAGTGCTGAACTTAGCCGAGATCTCAGCACTGAGGTTAGGGTTCCGATCTTGATCTGGGCCTCAGCATGAGACGGCAATGCGAGAGATCCCGAACAGCACACTGGATGAATCCAGAAGGAATTCAAGTGGGGGATGAAATTATTTCTCGCCTAGCTACCGACTCAAGATATCATACGGATCCCATTCAGAAGATTAACGGCAACAACGAAAGATATAAGCGCGAAATACACCGGTGACTACACCCTGACGGCATTCTGTACTTATCAGGCATGGGCCCAACGGCCAGCTTCACTCAGGCAAGTGACGCCGCGTCGGACTGGCCAAAAATTGCCACTGAACGGACGACCGTACCATGGGCACAGGCCTGACATGTCCATCCCTAGTGGCGAGTTCCCCTAACACGGTGCCCTGGCCACCCAGCTGCAGGTTGTCCATAGTAGGAGCCGAGACACCTTGAGGCCAGCTGGCCAGGACGCTTGGCTGCCGCACAGATGCAGCCTGGGCTGCATGCTCCCTCGCGACGTGCTGCTGTGCGCGCTCGCGCGCCATGCGTATGTTGGTGATGGTGCGAGCCAACGCAGGAGAAATACCGCCTTTCGGCGGGGGCGGGGGCGCCCGCTGGCCCTTGACGGGGAGTACAGGATTGTGCTGATACTGCGCGTTTAGCGGAGCTCCGTTCGTGCTGGCGCTGACAAGTGCAGCGAGATGCTGCGTTGACAGCGGGGCTGAAACCGGTACGGGCAGATGGCTGTAAAGACGCGCCGGGGGGCTGTATGCCGTGCTGTTAACAGGTGGAGGGAGCTGGTTGGGCTGTTCGACGGCGCGGATCATCGTCTCCTTCACGGCGACCTGCCAATCACCGCTAAGTGCACTGGGAAGCATGGTGGAGCTCGTGGAAACGGTGATTGTGGCCCCAAGAGCAGGGCCTCCAGCCACGACGGAGGCACAATTGTTCATCGCGGTATCATGGAAACGCTGCGCTATTGTAGTGGACGGGCCAGACGCTGACGATCCCTGTATGTTCGTAGGATCCAGGATGACATACACATTCCCGTCTGCAGGTGCCCAGCCCTGTACATTTTGCGAAGGGACTGTAACGTGAGGCACGTCGTCGACCACTTTCAGAACATTAAGAGCGGCGCGCGCAACAGCTTCCCGAAATGTAGACTGCTCTACGGTAAGGGCTTCTCCCCGCCTGCGCTTGCGAGGAGTACCGTCAACCGCCTTTAGAGCGTCCATAGTGGCACGTGCCACAGCTTCCTGGAGCAGGGATTCCTGAAATGAGAGAGCCTCTTCTCGCTGCTTGCGCTTTTGAGGGGTTACACGCTTGGTAGCCTTGGGAGAAGGCGAAGACGATGAGTGAGACAGCAGAAGTCCCAGGGCCATCGCATTCGCGGTTGACTGATCCGTTTGTTCGAGTGCTTTGGCCAAGTCGACCTGAGACGAAAAGTCATCGTCCGGAAAGGTCATTATATCTTCCAGCGTCAGGCTAATGCTAGACGGAAGATCGTCGAACATGGCAGCTATATGCGAGGTATCAGACAGAGATAGCAGATAGAACAGCACTTAGCAACAATGAAACCTTTAACTCGCGGGATATGGGACGAACTGAATGGCGATATATGGAGGCTAGGGTTAGATTATGCTACACTGTGGTACTGCCAGCCACATTCTTATAGGCCCATAGCCGAGATCGATTGTGATTCGTCGCGGTGGACTGAATCTTAATGGTCCGCCTGCAAACGAATCGAATTTCCATGTGGTAACATTTACGAGGTTATCTCACCTTTATAAGCTTAGAGAACACATCATGTTGGCTCAACTAAATTGAGCTGCGACTGTGTGCGGTGCTGTCTCTTCAAGAATGCATATAATCACAATGCACAGAAGTTCGATTAGAACGATCACAACTGAACCGATCTAAAGATACATGTGAGCATTCCAAACTGTGCCAGAAATTGAGCAAGTGTATCTTGATCCAGCTCTCTTATCACCACGGGTGAGCCCAAATGGAAGTACAGGAGTGATATAGCCACCCATCGTTGCTTCTAGAGCCGCAAGATGGGATACAAATTGTTGGACAGATGACAGGACGTAGTATACATGATACAATGTGGATGGCCGTAGAGAAAATTGGGAGCACTGCTGCCTATCGGCCGTACCTGCAGACTATTAGTAGATGATAAAGCATTGATGGATGGATGAACGCACTTCTGCAGCTCCCATTCTCTGTTGTCTAAGGGGCAGACGTTCCTCGTCTTCAGCCACCGTGAAATACAATGGAAGTGGAAGGCGTGCTGCATTAAAAGGCTGTTAGAACGTGCATTGAGGATCGATGAATGGATAGGTGCTCACGTTACAGATACCCCATGCCGCAGTACATTCCTCGCTCGTAGCAGATACCTGATTGGCCTGGCAATCGATGCCTATTGGTGAGAAACATGAGAATCGTGCAAGGTACGTTCTCAGAAGGTGAGTACGCACAGAGATCCATGATGTGGTTCCTGCAAATGGCGCAGTTGTCGACGACAATATCTACAAACGGGCTGTCAACATCGGCGCACTGCGGCGCCACGAACACGATCCACATACCCCAAGCCCACAACGCGACAGCATTCCACTAAAGGTAGCAGAACGAGGGATATCGGTAAGTCTATAAGTGAAAACGAAGGTAGTTGGTGGCGCTCATACCTTCTTCACCTCGAATCTCTTCTTCTCCTCCTTATCCTTACTGGTGGCGGGAGCGGGAGTATCGACGTCCATATCGGCCATATTGTCTACTCGTGATGTAAAGTGCACCGAACAACGAATCAAGACACAGGGAAATGTACGCCACTGCGAGGGTAATGGTGGTCGACTCGTTGAAGGCGAGCGATCTGTAGGCGCCTGCCTCCTCCGAGTTCTCTCTGTGACAAGCGTGACCATATAGATCGAGATTCTTGTACGACAAAGTTGTCCGCGACTCGGTTCGTCCCATCCACGCCGTATGTGAGACTTTTGGACGATCAAGCTGAACTTTCGATATGTCGGCATCTAACCAGGCCCTCTCTCAAGAGTTTTATGCGCATTTTCAGGCTACTCGCTCTGGTCTGCTGTAGTCTCTCCCTTGAACGCGTCCAGCTCTGAGATAGATACCCGACAGACCTCCTTGCCCGCCTGGACGTCCTTTCTACGGGGAAGAACAATTCAGAGGTCGTAGAGCAACTCGCTGTGGATGTGCTGAAGCTCAGGAAAGGACTGACTGACGCGACCGATTTCTTGCCTGCCTATGACCAACGACAGTGCGATATTGTATGTATGTTATGTCGTGCACTGGTCGAGTCTGATTCTGTCTCTATGCCTGTAGCGAATGAAAGAGATTGAAGAGACACTGCAAAAACTACGTGCTGCGTCGTCTGGAAAGCCCAAATTTGCGTTCAAGCGCAAAGCGAATAAGCCTACCATACCGTTGTCCTCGGAAACCAAACCCACCACTGAGCCAGTGTTTCAACCACATGAATCCGATCCTTCGTCAGGCGGCCTTTCGCTCTCGAATCATTCGTATCAATACCTCACCTTGGGATCTATTCCGACATCTTCTGCTTCATCTGACCTCACGATCTCCGAGCTGGATCACTGCATTGTGAACCTCCTACTTCCAGACGCCACCCATGCCTCTATATCTCCCCCACCGAAAATTACCGCCCTGCACGTCCGTAATGTTCGCAATAGCGTTCTCATTCTGCCACGGATCGACGGGAGCGCGCTTCTGCACGACCTTTCAAGATGCGTCTTTGTTCTGGGATGTCATCAGGTCCGTGATTAAATTAAATCTGATCGTAAGTTAAATCTTGATAATTATGTTGCACTGTCAGTATCGTATGCATGCGTCGTCGGACACGGACGTGTACATTTCGGTGTCTTCGAATCCGATTATCGAACACTGCACGGGTATCCGATTTTCAGGTTATCCCCAGCTCTTCCTCCGGTCAGGCGCATTTGCACCCCCAAAAGATAATGTAGGACTAGTGATGGTTTGAATCGCCATCAGTGCTGATCTGATAGCAGATGTCTTCAAGCGATCACCTCGCCGTCCAAGACTTCTCCCACATACGTGCTACGCCCTCGCCGAACTGGTCGATTTTGCCGGCGAGTGAGGTCATTCCAGACGAACAGTGGCTACTTTCCGCCAACGTGGAGAAAGTCGGCGTGGACTCGATTCTTGAGAAGCTTATTCCTCGCCCATAGACCTGTGATGAAGTCCAAACTTCCGTTATTTGTCTGATCGGGCTTCCATACGTTGTCGGAGGCGGCCTGTGCCATATCGCCTACACATCCCTATTCGTTCTAGTGACAAGATCCGTAGGTGAGCGTTACAGTCCATCGCAAGAAATATAGAGCGATTATGGCCATCTCATCGCGCGGCATGGGGGTTCTTGATCTCGGTGCGGAAAGTCTATAATCACGATGTATCGGAGCAATGTCCCAATTATACGCCGGCACCGCATGGTAACACTGCTGCTCATGGCGTGCGTGTATGCATCAGCTCACTATCACCTACCTAATTGATTGTTGCACCACCTGCACCGAACGGGGATACTGCGCACGAAAAGATGCGCCCATGATTCCCAGGTCGCCGCGCCATTCTTGGGAAGCGCTCATAGCATTAACATTGACGACGCCGCCGGGGGCGGGAATGATAATTTTTGAGTCAGTTCTTGGCTCCCGGGCTTCACCCCAACCATTCATCCACCCTTCGGACTGGGCAATATTATGCGGAGATTGGGCGTTTACCTCGCCTTGCACGGTCATGGCAGTTCGTCGTTGTCCTGTAGCGGCAAAGCCTGTGCATGAAAGTCATGATTCGAGCTAGTGGCCCGGTACGTAGTCGAGCTGTTTGAAATTTCCTAGTACTAGTGGGACTGATGGGTGATGAACGGACGCCCCAATCCGTGGCGTTGCGATAACAGGCTGGTATTCATCTCTGGTGCTGAACTCGGGCCATGCTGACAATTCATGCATAGTCAAGTCGGAGGCAGCCTCCGGATATGATAAAGCCCACGCCATGGCTTAGTGTGCGACGCTGGGCACGACAGACAGGGGCGACTGTCCATGTCGCGGTGGAATCCGACCAGGTCGGACTCTCTAGGCGCTCGTCGGAGGACTCGCGGCCTGCGGGAGTGACCAAGCAGCAAAATTAAGCGGCCCCGAAAGATGGGTGTGGATCGAGAGGGATATGAAGAGTTCTGCAGACTCGAATACTGGCCGCTTCAGTTGATGGTTGGGTACGCCAGGTGCAGTTTCCTCATGCTTGGATACATGGCCGAGGGGTTCGGGGTCAGGCCGAGACAGTCGGGGAGAAGCAAATCCGAGATTGGGGGCTGAGCGCTCTTACCGCTCCTCTTGTCCTCGACTCGTACCGCCCACGGCAAAGATGTCACCGCGCCCCCGGCTCCATCACACGATGATGCCGCCCGTACGCATCCGCTCGGCAATGCTTCCCATCGCCAGCCTCTATACCATGACATCCAGTCTCGATTTATATCGGCCCTCTTCATAATCCTCTTCCCCCCTTGCGCTTGGATCTGGTTTCATCTCTTGTGCCACCATGGATTCTCCTACTGATCCTACACAACTCGAGTCCGTTGAGGAGAACGATACTCTCCCTGAGTTACCCCTCGGCACCTCCACTGCCGCTGCGTACATCGGCGCTGCCATCCACAATGCCACCTTCGCGCAGCCTCCCCCCTCTCCTCGCACCCCCGCCCAGGCTGTTAATGTCGACTACTTTGACCCTGCCGGAGTGGGCGAGCTCCGCCGCTCCATGTCCCGCGTCTCAGAGAGATCCGTTCTGCGGCCTCGCTCACAACGGGCTCTTTCAGTTGTCTCTAGGCATGCTCCTTCTGACGTCGAGTCAGAGGCCACCGTAGCTGCCACCGATGGCCCGTTTGACTTTGAGAAAACCCTCAAGTCTGTCATGAGAAGGTCGGTCTACGCCTGCATTTGCCGAATCTTATGTTCAATTTGTACCTCTCTTAGAATTGACGAGTCCGACATCACGAAAAGACAGCTCGGGGTCGCTTTTGAGAATCTCCGAGTGGTTGGCCTGGGGGCCACTGCTACATACCAGCCCACAATGGGTTCCGAACTCAATCTCATGAAATTCGCGGACATCGTCAAGAACGCTCGCCATCCTTCTGTGCGTGATATCCTATCAGGATTTGAGGGTTGTGTTAAACCGGGCGAGATGCTTCGTGCGTATTCGGATGCTTCGGAACAAATTGCATACTCATGTCTTGGCCGCAGTCGTACTAGGACGCCCCGGCGCCGGGTGCACTACTCTTCTAAAGGTCCTAGCAAACCAGCGGAGCGACTATCACGCAGTACACGGCGACGTGCTCTATGATTCGTTCACCCCTGAAGAGATTGCGAAGCAATATCGCGGTGACATTCAATACTGCCCCGAAGACGATGTCCATTTTGCCACCCTAACAGTAAGGGAGACGCTCGACTTTGCCGCAAAGACCCGAACGCCACACACCCGTATTCATGAGTCGCGCAAGGATCATATCCGCACAATCACCGACGTTATCATGACGGTCTTTGGTCTGAGACACGTGAAAGACACTTTGGTCGGTGATGCCAGGGTTCGTGGTGTCAGTGGTGGAGAGAAGAAACGTGTGTCTATCAGTGAAGTGCTCACATCGCGCAGTTTGTTGACATCCTGGGACAAGTAAGCTCAGCACTATTCTGGATTGGGCCTCTCTGACTTAATGCGCGTGTTTTTGCAGTTCTACCCGTGGACTCGAGTATGTGCATATTCTCCTCGTGTTTGACACTTGTTATTGACCAGGTTCTAGTGCGTCCACCGCCCTTGAGTTCGTGCGCGCCCTGCGGCTTGCCACGGACATTGCCCACGTCTCAACCATTGTCTCGATATATCAAGCCGGCGAGTCGTTGTATGAACTCTTCGACAAGGTTTGTGTCATCAACGAAGGCAAGATGGCCTACTTCGGGCCAGCTGACCGCGCACGTCAATACTTCATCGACATGGGATACGAGCCTGCAAATCGCCAGACTACTGCCGATTTCCTTGTTGCTGTCACAGACGCCCACGGACGCATCTTCCGGTCGGACTTCGACGGCGTGCCGCCGCGCACTGCAGACGAGTTCGCCGAGTATTTCAAGAGAAGCGAACTGGGGCGCTTGAACAAGGAGGATTTAGAATCATACCGCGAACAGTTTGTGGGTCAACCCGATAAGAAGGATATTTACCGTCTCAGCCATCGTGCGGAGCATGCGAAGACGACCCCCCTTAACAGTCCTTATATTATCTCGATTCCGATGCAGGCGCGGGCGCTCATGCTTCGGCGACTTCAAATCATCAAGGGTGCAATTGCGACGCAAGTAATTCAGATAATGTCGTTCGTCTTGCAGGCCATTATCATTGGCACGATCTTCTTACGGGTGCAGAACTCAACTGCGACCTTCTTTTCTCAGGGAGGTGTGCTTTTCTTGTACGTTTGAACACCTCTGTGCATCTGGCGCCGCTATTCAACCTCATTTATTCAACAGTGCGCTTCTATTCTCGGCCCTTTCGACAATGGCAGAAATTCCTGCACTCTTTATTCAGCGGCCTATTGTTCTACGGCATTCGCGGGCAGCCATGTATCATCCATTCGTTGAAGCTCTCGCTCTGACACTAGTAGACGTTCCCATCACAGCCGTGACGATCATCATCTATTGCATCGTACTATACTTCCTCGTTGGCTTGCAGCAATCCGCAGGACAATTCTTGTACGTTTCTTTTATCTTTTGACGCTATGCATGCTTACGAAGAGATCTGCAGTATTTTCTTATTATTCATCTATATCATGACGCTCACGATGAAGGGTTGGTTCCGAAGTCTAGCAGCAGTGTTCAGAAGCCCAGCACCTGCACAGGCGATTGCTGGAATATCCGTCCTGGTTTTGACACTATACACTGGATACTCCCTTCCCCAGCCTTATATGATCGGCGCACTTCGCTGGATCACGTATATTAACGTTCGTACTTCCAATATCCTCACTCGTGGGCGGCTTTTAATTTATCTTGACGGTCAGCCGCTCAAATACGCATTCGAGGCCCTGATCGTGAATCAATTCCACACAATCAACGCCCAGTGCGCGAGTTTGATACCGTCTGGTCCGGGATACGAAAATGTGTCCATCACAAATCAGGTCTGTACCACTGTCGGCTCGGAGCCTGGTCAGGCAACCGTGAATGGGTTACGGTATGTCGAGCTGTCGTTTGGTTACTCTTACAGCCACCTTTGGCGGGTGCGTGCGATCTCACATCGCTTATTGTGGCGCTAGCTCATCTGCGGCTCATAGAATTTTGGTGTTGTCGTCGCATTCGGCATTGGTTTTACCTGCATCCTCCTGTGCTTGTCAGAGTATAACCTGAGGGTAGCTGGCGACTCCTCCGTGACGCTGTTCAAACGCGGATCGAAAACGCAAGCCGTAGACTCAGTGAGTACGAATGACGAAGAGAAGCATACCAGTAGCGAAGGGGAAACAGGTCCCATCGTAGTGAACTTGGAAGAGGCCAGGAAGGCAATGGAAGCAACTCCGGAGTCTAAGAACACATTTTCATTTGAGAACTTGACGTACGTCGTGCCTGTGCACGGCGGGCACCGCAAGCTCTTGGATGGGGTATCGGGATATGTTGCTCCTGGAAAGCTGACCGCACTTATGGGCGAATCTGGCGCTGGAAAGGTGCGTATATGCGTTGAGGTACAAATGTCCTCGTTTGCTGATGGGTTGTTCAGACGACACTGTTGAATGTTTTATCGGAGAGGACTTCTGGTGGTGTCGTCAGCGGGAGCCGCTTCATGAACGGACAATCGCTTCCCTCAGACTTCCGTGCACAGACGTGAGACATTTTGCTAATAACGGTACTACTGCTTAAGATACTGATACGATTTGCAGTGGATACGTGCAACAAATGGATACACATCTACCTACTGCGACAGTGCGAGAGGCGTTGCTCTTCTCGGCCCAGCTCCGTCAGCCTGCATCGGTATCGCTCGCGGAAAAAGAGGCGTACGTCGAGAAGTGCTTGAAAATGTGCGGCTTGGAATCGCACGCGGACGCGGTCGTCGGCTCGCTTGGCGTCGAGCACCGTAAGCGAACAACGATTGGTGTGGAGTTGGTCGCGAAGCCGTCGCTGATCTTCCTCGACGAGCCCACCTCCGGTCTGGACTCGCAGAGCGCTTGGGCCATTGTGTGCTTCTTGCGTAGTCTTGCGGATAGTGGACAATCGATTGTGTGCACGTACGTTGTTTTAGTTGGTCGTGTTGCGCCGTCACTAACATGGCGCTGGTTGACAGGATTCACCAGCCGTCGGCAGAGCTTTTCGAAGTTTTCGACAGGCTGCTGCTCCTGCGTAAGGGCGGACAAACGGTGTATTTCGGCGATCTTGGGCCCAAATCAACTACATTGATCAACTACTTCCAAAACAGTGGAGGACGCCAGTGCGGTGCCGCGGAGAATCCGTACGTCCTTGACTGACTTTGGGATCCTTTGCCGGAGGTACTGATAACGGGGGCATGGCAGTGCTGAATACATTCTCGATGTCATTGGTGCCGGAGCTACGGCGACAAGTGATATCGACTGGAATGAAGCTTGGAAGAAGTCTGACTTTGCGCGCAATCTCGTCACGGAGCTTGACGACATACATACGGAGGGTCGCGGGCGTCCTCCTGTCGAAGTCGTCCTCAAGAGCTCCTTTGCAACACCGTGGCTGTTCCAGGTGGGGACGCTGATCAAGCGCGATCTGCAGAGCCACTGGCGCGACCCGTCGTACATGTTGGCAAAGATGGGTGTCAACATTGCTGGTGGCCTTCTCATTGGGTTCACATTCTTCAAGGCGAAGGATGGAATTCAAGGCACACAGAACAAGCTTTTCGTAAGTGGGATCGTATTGCAGATACATATTGAGCTGAGCACCCATACAGGCTATATTCATGTCCACCATTATCAGCGTCCCACTTTCCAATCAGCTTCAGGTGCCATTCATTGATATGCGCTCCATTTACGAAATCCGCGAACGGCACAGTAGCATGTATAGCTGGACGGCGCTGCTCACTTCTCAGATCTTGGTTGAGATGCCATGGAATATCTTGGGCTCGACGATCTACTTTTTGTGCTGGTATTGGACTGTAGCCTTCCCTACCGATCGTGCAGGCTTCACCTATCTCGTTCTCGGCGTCGCCTTCCCGCTGTACTACACTACCGTCGGACAGGTTAGTCGATCTTACACTATTCGTCGCTTTACTTTCGTGTTGACGTCAGCTATAGGCAGTCGCGGCTATGTGCCCCAATGTTGAGATAGCGGCGTTGGTGTTCTCGTTCTTGTTTTCTTTCGTGCTTTCCTTGTATGTGCAAGATTGTCTGTTCCTCGTTTTCGATACTAATCTCTTCTTCCCAGCAATGGTGTTCTTCAGCCTTTCAGGGAGCTTGGTTGGTGGAGATGGATGTACCGCCTCTCTCCTTACACGTATCTGATTGAGGCTCTTCTTGGACAAGGTCAGTCAGGCGTTCAATTGTACAGGGCCTGAGCTCGAACACTCACGGCGATTACCTGTAGCCGTCGGTCACAGCGAAATCACTTGCGCCCCAGTAGAGCTTGTGAAAGTAGAACTTCCGTCTGGCCAGACTTGCGATCAGTACCTCGGGAATTTCATCAACACGGCTGGTGGTTATGTCACCAGCCCTAATGCGACGGGCTCCTGTGAGTATTGTGCGTACCGTACCACGGATGCGTTCCTTGGCGAGAGCTTCAACATCTCCTATTCGAATCACTGGAGAGACTTCGGCATCTTCTGTGCTTTTATTATATTCAATGTGAGCATGTATTTGATATTGCCAGCGTAATTTATACTGACTATTGTGTTCGTAGATCGCATGTATCTTCTTGTTCACGTATCTGTTCCGCATACGAACTGGTAGCGTTGTTGGATGGGTCAAGAAGCGTCTCGTCAGGAGATCGTAGAGTGCTTGATTTCACGGTAGTCATGTTGATTCAGCTGAGGTAGATAGTGTAGACGTAATATATGGACTTCATCCCACACGTGTAGAATTAGCACACTACTTACATGATGCAATGCATCTATATTGGAGACAGTAAATATTCTTCCGGCATTTCGTCTAGGATTCAGCTGGCAAACGACTCGATAACTTTCGAGTTCAGATATCGGTCATAGGTGACGGCTGAAGCCAGACAGACACATTGATGCACAATACCCGGCTCGTACTATAGCTCAAGGATCTTTGTGCGTTACGAACGTGATTGGATAACATAGTCTCCAAGCGCCGCTTGATCATGGACAAAGTAAGAAATGCCTCGCCGACCCCTCAAGTCAATGATACCGCCACTATCTCTCAACCAGCGTGGCTATGATGTTGTCGGACTCGCGATCAACCTCTGTGCACGATCACATCAAGCCTGCTGTCAACGCGAGCCACTTAACAGATTCAAACTGCCAGCATTTTTGTCTAGCGCATCTGAGAAATCCCTTACCAGTTTGCTTTCGAGACAGGCAAATTGCAGTCAAACTTGACAAATTCAAGAACGTGCAACTAGGACCAATTGATAACCATCTAGGAGATATGAACAGGTCGTCAACTTATAGAGCTGTATCGTGATGGGATTTATCTTATACAACCCCGTGTTAGGCACTGGTTGCAACCTTGTCTACACATTTGACTTTTTTGCACTCGCGCACTCTGCCCGGACCTCGCTACCATGCGCTTTGCGTTCACGTTCGTTTACAGCATTCCGGTCAGGGTCGAAATGAGATTATTGTGGTATGCAGTGAACGAGCATAAGCACTACACGTAACAAAGAATACAAATGAGTTGAATAATAATGATTAACACTCACGAGGCAAACATTACCCTAACGATCATACAACCTCACAGAATTCAGCTGAATATTGACCGCAGAGAAATTGGTGGCAGCACCCTCGCCCCCAGATTTTACATCATCATCCACATCTTAAAGGATACGCGAGTCGCAAGGACAGCAGCAAGCTGTTTAATTCACAGCAAACACTTGCGCGACAATCCCTTGCTAAGGGCTTCCTGCTTGCCCTTCAACGACCTGTTCAACGAAATCTTAAGTGCTCGCCTGAGACCGACGCGAGAGAAACTGTGTCGCTCCGTCATCAAGGATGAAGATTGCGAAGGTCTCGATGATGAGCCATCGGCCTTTCGTGGGCAACAAGTGAATTACTTGCTGCCATATGTGGTATTCGTGAACACTAGGGAATAATCCTAGTCTGCCATAGGCTTGGACGACATGGAAGATATCTGGCTGTTGGGGTCGCAGAATGAAGGATCTGAAGATGCGGAGAGATTGGATTGTGCATGCCAATTTTTTTTCACCTTGTAAAGCTTAGGCTCTATTAGCGATAAAACCGAGAAGTTTCGACCCGGTGAGACATTGCCCAAGAGTAAATGACGGAGCTGGATGAAGCACTTAGCATGAGACACCACCATGACATTTCAAAATTCCCAAGTTCCTCCGGGATGGCGGCGATTGCCTGCGACCAGCTGCCAGCTTATTCGGCACTAGTGCAACCATGGTGGCCTTCCCTCGTCCTGCAGCTAAACACCTCAGCATCCGCCGCAAAACTTCAAAGCTTCAGCGCTTCAGCCCTGGCGCGTATCGTAAGGGGCCGAAATCAGTTGGGAAGACGCACGCGTTGTCACGGTCACGGTCATTCGTTTTGCTTCATGTTACTTATGACGTCACGCTGGCGCGCTCGAGCAAAACCGCGCGTCATTGCAAGGCGGATATGTCAGAAACCATGTCAAAGGTCGCGCATTTTGGTCACAAGCCCTCCAGTATAAATGCTTTATATGGGGGTGAAGGCCGTCTTCAACCTCCTTTCTCCACCGCCTTACATTCGCCCGCGCAATTCAACCACCAACACCCATTTGCGATCAGAACTTCATTGGTACGATGGCATCAGTCTCCAAAGCAGCTAAAGGATTCTCTATCGACTTCTCGGGTACGTTTTTCTTCTCATTGAGTGGGCACAATCTGACTTGAATATGATTCATTATCAGGCAAATGTGTCATAGTCACCGGCGGCAACCGTGGTATTGGCCGTGCCATCTCCGAGGCCCTTGCTGGGGCAGGCGCACGCGTCGCAGTCATCTACAGAGGCTCGAAAGATGCAGTCCAAGTGGCGGAGACCATCGGAAAAGAGAACAATGTCAAGTGCAAAGTATGTAATCGGGCTATTCCCATAGCGGCCTCGATCTCACGAGATACCATGACCTCTTCTCTTAGGCCTTTAAATGCGACGTTTCTGATGCAGAGCTCGTGAAGAAAGTTTTCAAACAAATCAACGACGAGATGGGTCCGGTCACCGGCCTAGTTGCGGTGCGGTAGTTTTTCCTCTAATCTTCCAAATGTACTGTTGATGGGTTTCGCGATATCACAGAACGCAGGTGTCTCCGTGGTAAAGCCTGCGCTCGAACTTACGAAGGAGGATTTCGATAAGGTCTACACCGTGAATGTTCTGGGCGTGTTCAACGCAGCACGGGCCGCCGCGAAGCTCTGGGTTGATGCCAAATACCAGGGCGGATCGATTGTCATCACGTCCAGCATGAGCTCTCAAATCATCAACCAGGTCGCGTCCGGAAAGCCGCTCACACAGGTGTTTTACAATTCATCCAAAGCCGCCGTATCGAATCTCACCAAGGGGATGGCATCTGAGTGGGCACAATACGCGATACGTGTTAATGCTATCGGCCCCGGATATGGTGTGTATTATTGCTGTGAGGGAAGTGGGTTTGATACCAAACTTGGATTTAAACAGTGGAAACCGATCAGACATCAGGAATGGAGAAGTCGATTCGAGACCACCAGGCGGCTCAAGTTCCACTAGGTCGCTTTGCGAAGCCACATGAGATGGCACCTCAGACCCTGTTGTTACTATCTGATTACGCGAGTTACATGACGGGACAGGAATACTTCGTTGACGGGTGAGTAGTAGCCAATCTGATGCGTGGATAACCGCTAATGCAGTGGTCATAGGGGTCAACTGGTTTTCTGAACTAGATCCAGATACACTTGAGCTACGGATTTTGATCCTTGTTGTCTCGTGAAGATTTGAATGCCTTTGTCTGGATTAATTAGATGGTAGTAATCCAATTCTCGTATTCATTGTACGTTCCATGACCATGAAGCTAGTCAGTCTTCGCTCCGCTTCAGCTCTGTTTATGGCTATCGCCGCAGTTTTTTTTTGACAATCTAGTTGAGATCGGCCTGACAGTATGTGAACATGGCTGCAGTGGATTGCGGCCCGCGGGGTCTTGAGTACAGGCGCGATCGACAACACGATCGGTCACACCATGTCACAATGTACAGGTTTGCTCGACGATTGAGCGTCCACTCACTAGTAACGCGGTAAATGGCTAAGGCAACTGGATCTGCTCTTCTTCAATTGGCAGCCATTCGGGAGGCCTAGCATACGAAGGGTTGTTAGAGCGGATTGAAGATCATAGTGAGCCTACGTCCCCATCATCTGACCTTCAGCCGGCATGCGCGGGGCCTACTATCGCTTCCGACGGTTGTATCTTGCCCCTCCAGGCTTTCATCATTCTCATGACCATCTCCCTCTACGACCACCCTACACCATGCTGTCACGTTCATCTGAGGCGGCCCGCTGCTGGGTCCCATCCTCGTGCATCCCTTCACCTGAGCCTTCGGCTCCACAAGCAGCTGATCAGACGGTTTCAATACATAGGGAAATATAAGCTTTGACATGCAATGCGAAAGACTCAGAGGGTTGCTAGCGTTCCGTAAACCTCTTCGTGTCTTTGTGAAATGTTCTTTCTATCCAGTTGGAGATCGTCCGCTAGTAAACGGGCAGCGATCTCGGCGTTGTATGCCAGCGCCGCTGCTGTCCGTGCTGTATCACCTGCCAATGATACACGTAAGTGCATCCTTGTTTTGCGACGGCGTATACTGATGTTCTGGAGAAGTGCTTGACCCAGTCTTTACTCGCATTCCGACTGGGACAGTCAAGCCATTCGGCTGGGCGTACAATATGGCGCTGGTCCAAGCTCATGGGCTTGCCAGTCAACAGCCTCTATGGTTTGATTAGTACGTCTCTTGAAAGTATTTGGAAGTGCATATTCAGGGTTTCAATTCAGCGTGTCAAACTCGGTCTGGCGTGGTGGCACAATCGAGTACAGTGAGATGCAGGAAGCTGCACCGTACTGGTTGTAAGCTATACTTCTCCTCAGATGTTCTCGATTTTCTCACAGCACTACTCCCAGCAACGGTTGGGTCGCACTCGCTCACCAATTGGGGAATAGTACTTTGCTTGGATATACGAAGACCTTCCTGGATTACGTCTACGCCTCACAGGAGTCTTCAGGATATTTTGGTCCATATCCTTTTAATTCATCACTTCCGACTCTTCTGTGGCCACGCTACATGACTATGCTCGGCCTGATTGTACGTATCGTGGGTGGTGTTCCAAAGAATATTGTTGACACCTGTGGAGATAGCAATATGCTGAAGCAGATGCGACTGAATACTCCAATATTACGGATCTCCTACACAACTTCGCTCAATATGCAACACAGAAGTTTGCTAGCGGAGATCTCGGCGATCCATCTCTTGGGCAACAATATGAATATCAACAAGTCAGATGGGAAGAGGTGTGCTACGAACTCTGTGCTTCTCGGTCTAATCTAATTCACGCTTTTAGCTGGTTCTAGTCATGCAATGGTTGTACGATAACGATCCAAGGGGACAGCAGGAGCAGCTAATTAGTCTCATGAATGCTGCCCGGGCTCAAGGGTTCTCTTGGAAGAACGATTTCTTTGTTGATAACGGAACCTTTCCAAGAGTGGCTGTCCCTACTGACGAAGCCAGTATGTACAAGTGAGTCATCGCGCTTTTCGTTTGGATGCAAATCTTGCTTAATTATCCTTGTAGCCATGGCGTGAATATTGGAGAGGGTATGTTGGCATGTCCCCTGTCACCTCACTCTGCTCATCCGGATGATTATAGCGTTGAAATCAGAGGCACTCACTTGGCGCATGACTGGAGACCAGAGCGACATTGACAGCACGTACGTATCACATGGGTCCACTAACCCATTTGTCTTTTTGACCTTATGTGTACAGCTTTAATCGCATCAACATGACTTGGCAGTATCATGGACGTCCGCAGGGAATATTCAACACGGATGAACACTTGGCAGGTTTACACCCATCCAGGGGGTTCGTGATCGCGTCTCCATCCTTGCAAGCGGTAAGAGCTTACGAGTATCATTTAGGTCTGAATATTGCGTGAGCGTCGAGACCATGTTCTCTCTGGAGACGATATATGCGACGCTTGGGGCCCCTGAATGGGCGGATCTCCTTGAAAGGATCGCCTACAATTCGCTGCCTGCACAGGTACATTCGAAGCCGAAACCTAACGTGTATTCGTTGATGGCTTAATTCTTGGTAGAGCACTCCGGACTGGTGGTCACATCAATACCTGCAGCAGACAAACCAGATCTGGGTTCATAATCACACCGATGGTGTTGTATGGACAGACGGTTTATACAGTAATGTAATGGGGATGGAGCCTAATTATCCATGCTGTACGTACAGATCGTATCTAGTACTGCGCTTTCTGATGCTCTCTGTTGAACAGGCACCGTCAATCACCCCCAAGGTTGGCCGAAATTCTGGAGCAATAGCTTTCTCTATGCGGACAACTTAACGGCACTTGTTCATGCCGCACTTGGACCTGCTACGCTACAGACCCAACTGGCGAATGGTGCTGACACTGAAGGTATATTTTCAACAATTCCTTGAGCGCCTCTCACTGACAGCTATCTCCAGTCACCGTCGATACCCTGTATCCCTTTGGCTCAACGCTATCGTATACAATTACCTCGTCCAGAGCATATACGTTCTATATTCGGATTCCACAGTGGGCGCAGTCACGCAGCACTATTACTGTCAATGGCGCGAAAGCGACTACGCTGTCACCCGACTTTACCACCGCCCTTCAAAGTGTACAAGTAAGGGCTGGGAAGACAACCATTGTTCTGTATCTTGACATGCAGATCGAGATTGAGCCCAGATCGAACGGAAGTATTGCTATATACCGTGGTCCCTTATTATATGCGGTGGATTTGTCGTATAATGACACGACAACACCTGCAGCGCTCAGGTATGTGTTTGCGAGTCCACCACGTCCTCGATATTTTCTTACCAACATCCATCTGGCAGGTCACCGGGCCCGTTGGAATTTATTGAAACTTTGCCCAACGTCCCTGCATCCGATTTGCTCACCGTGAGTAGATCGGTTCATGATGTTGTTTGCTTGCTCCTGAACTGGTTTCATTGCCTGCAGTACGACAATCACACTCATGATCACTTCTGGATGGCGACTACACCATGGAATATTGCAATTGACCCGTCGACTCTGGCTTTCTACGAGGATATGGTGGACGAGCTCCCGTACTATGTCTGGGAGACGGGCGCACAGCCGCAGTCCATGACGGCGGTGGCATGCGAGATCGACTGGCCGACACTATTAGGAGATGCCGACTGGCCGCCGCAAAGCCCGAATACGTGCTTGGGTGGCACGTTTAATGTTACTTTGAGACCGTTCGGTGGAACGAGACTGAGGATTGGTCAGTTGCCTACTATGTCGATTGGTGCGTAACAGATAACCGCACGTTCGACAATACATAAAATTGAGGAATGCATGCATTATTTACATTAAGAGCATGTCTGAATGTCGGCACTTCAAACATCAGGGTTATTGTAGTGTTTAGAGTGTTCAGAGACATTGAACGCCAATATGTCGTGTAGCATCAGTCTACAATTCTATTCAGGTAACTGACTGTCAGATGCGCGTGATGCTTGGTGAGAGCGTAAATGAACACTTACATCTTCAAGTTGCCCTAAGTGTTTAGTAATAGCAATAGTATCTTGACGTCAAAAGATTTCAACCTATGAGGGATCGCAAAGTTTGGCACCATCTAGGGCGGTATACTGTTGTCATTTAAGTTTTGGGTGGGAACCATGGTAAAGAGCTGATGAGGGCCAAAGGCCAAAGACCTCTTATTGTATAAAACTTTACGAGTTAAGTTGCGTCTCCATAGGCAGATGGCCGGTTGTGGACTCCGTCACGGCTTGTACTAAGATTCAGAATCTAGATAGCATCCTGTCAAAGAGACATGATCACATGATCAGACGCGATCGCGAATTGACCGGCCCTAAATATGTTCGTTCGTTCGCTCGTTGTCGAACGGTGAGGTTCTCCGTCGTTGCTGGCCGTCTCGCTGTCACCGTATCTACCACTAGTCGACGGTTACAGTCTACATTTCCGGCCAAGTGGACTTCAAGACCCCAATCTCAATCCCGAAGCTTTTAGGCTATGTTCTAGTTTCGATCTGTAGCAAATGTCAGAATACTCGTCCACCGCGCCCTCAATAGGGCCTCCGAGGTCCCCACTCTTCGGGACCGCTACGTTCTCATCTTTGTCAGCCACACAAACACAAATGTCTCCATCAAGATTTTCCTCCACGGTTCGTTCTGGTGAGTGTCATCGTGACGTTTATGTGCGCCCGCGTAGATCCACATGTGGCACCACCGTATTCATCTTCGAAAGCGCCATATCGGACTGTGTTCATTAAGGAGCCTGTGTCCTGGTGTAAATCGTGTGTGTAAGCATACGCTGTCTGAGATTAGGCAGATTGCGTTCGCATCCAGATTGAAGTCTATGCAGGCCGATGTCTTAAATCCATCAGGTGTATACTATGCTGATGCCTTTCCTCCTAGTAACACCAATAGCTTCATCATACGATAGTGACGACGCATCCTCAGGCCGCCAAATGCGCAGGATCGTTGTGTCGCCTACGCCCACTTCCGGATATTCGGATAGTTACGCGTATTCCGACGAAAATTCCCTCCAGGATGCGGCCGAAGTCGAAGCCGAGCTCACTCTGGACAGCGTAGAAGACCAGATCGCCGAGACGGAAGATTTTCTTTCGGAGATGTCTCGTGGGTCCTCGTCTGGAGGGGGATCAACATATTCTTCATACACAGGTCCTTCTACGTACACATCTCGTACGGGCCCATCAACCTTTACGTCATATACTGGAACTGGTTCTGCTTCCGGTTCCACTCTGTCAAATTCTTATACTTCAGGCGATTATCATTCGGGGACCACGTTAATGGTTCAGAGGCTCAGTACTATCTCAGAGCATACTGAGAATGCTCCTTCGCGGCCAACCTCGTATGCACTGTCAGGAGACGTAAATCGACACTCGGTACATACGGAAGTTGGAGCATTGCCTATCCACCATGCGAGGTCGTCCACAGAGCCCACTGGGAGGGCACAAACTCCGGGGCGGACGCTACCTCCGGTACCAGGGAAAAAGGTTGGTGAGCTGGTGGCATCCTTTGAAGACAGGTCCACCTCCGTTGGTAGTCCCGCACATATGCTCGGGCACACCAGGACATCCTCGGCGCCGTTAGGACCGAGGTCACCTAGTCCTTACACCTCTACGCAGAGTCGCTCCATGCCGACTTTGAGTAGTGCAGGGTATGGATATGGGAGTACCACTGGGTACGGAACTACAACAGGATACGGCTCTCGATCATCGTCTCCTACAAAGAGCAGAACAGGATCTAGTGTTTCGTATTCCGGCCTTAACACTACAATGTCATCCATGTTGTCACCACCGCCTCAAACAACCGCATCTTTATCCGGTGCTTCACGATTCACATCCAGTACTGCAATAACCACTATGACTCCTGGAGGCACAGACACATACACAGGCTCGGGCTCAATGTCACAGACAAGCTCGGACGCGTACACACGCACGCTTACTGCGACGAGTTTGAATAGCTTCACGGGCACACCGACGTCGTCTTCCCTAACACCGAGACAGCGTGGTTCCCCTGGCGACTTCAGCTCCGTCAGCAGGGTTCAAGAAGTCTTGAAGAGATGGACTGACAATAAACCGTCTATGGCGAAGTTCAGTAAATTTGGAACATCTCCGTCGCCGACCCGCAATGAGAATTTCCTCAACGTGCGGCGCCGGACTAGCAGAGGTAGTGCGAGAATGAAGGAGAGAACTCTTCCGTTATCTGGTCGTGCTAGCAGAAGAGTAAGTGATCCAGCAATGTCTGATGTCGGAAGCACCATGAGCGACAGTATGAGCACAAGCGGATTGCTTCCCCCGCCCTTCGACATCAATGAATTGGGACAATATACGGGCGCCAAAGAAGCACAAGAGGTGACCAATGGGCTCTTTCGCTTCGATTTGAAGTGCTAACCTTTCGTGTTGTAGCCGCTGCGCATAGGTTTGTTGTGGTATTTGAATGTTCATGCTCCCCCGCCATATAAATGGCAGAGATGTCAGGCCCTACTTTATCCCCACATGCTGCTCCTATCGTGGATAGCAGCAAGCGGAGGACGCGGTGTCGTAACTCTGGATCTGCTCAATTGCACCGAAGTCCGCTCGGCGCCGTCCCCAACACATCCTGCCGCCCACGATGACGTCGGTACCGTTGCAGCGATCGTCCAGAGTCAAGATCCAAGCAATTTGGTCCGGGGAAACCAGCCAGAAGCAAACCTGATGGAGACCTTGTGCCCATTCCATTTACTTTACGGTGACGGCATAGAACGCCTCGCCTGCGATAGTCCCCGAGAAAGGGTAAGATGGGTCAGTGCAATATGGCAAGTTGATTCATCTTCATCACGGCTTTTCATGATCTTATGGATCTTCTCCAGGGACGTCTTACAGCGAGCAGATACTATTCCTGACCGTTCTGCCACTGGATCGCCTACGGGCTCAGTTAGGACGGTACGCTCATTCGCAAGCAGTGGATCCACAGAGTCTAGCTCGGGCTCTGGATCGGCGTCAACACGTTATGTCCCGTTCATTGAAAACCTGCCGGACATATCTGACCTAAACTCCCTCTCTGGCTCAAGTGCCCGTACCGGCCTATCGTACCGACCGTCACTCGCATCTGCTCACCGATCAAGAGCCACAGACGACTCAGCAGTATCCAATCAGGCGTATATGTACCCCGGCGATCCTCGCGTTATCGCCCCGAGCAGGAGCAGTTCTTTGCGGCGTACAAGCTCTTTGACTGACCTGGATGAGGAGTTCGCATCTGCCGTAAGACGAGCGCGCGATTCACGTCCTGGGTTAGGTTTCGGCTTGGGACTTGCGGGAGGAATACCCGTTGGTGATGGATCCCCTGTCACTGTGTCCAGCGGTCCTAGACTAGGTCGTGACGTCTATATGTCTCCCCCTCCAAGCGTGGGGCGAGACGACAAGTCTCGAAGTCGGGCCTCGGACAGTGTGACGTCTGCGTCCGATGACGCATTCTTTACAGCGGGAGCAGGCTCCAACGGATCGAGGGCTCATACCTCTAGTTTCTATTCCTCGTCATCTTTCACGCGTGGATTGACAACAACGGACACTAGGACGACAACTGGTTTAGTAACAGATGAGACCCTCCTGGATATTGTATCTGGTTCTGGCACCAATATCGTCGCGTCCACTCTCTCTTACAGGGGAACGGCATCTGCGTCGTTGCTGGGGGATTCGCATAGTGGATCGAGTGGATTGTACTCGTCCACATCGCCGTCACGCAGTGGGTTATCAAGGTCAGGTGGAGTTCGTAGGCGACCTGCACGAAGTGCCTCACGATCGTACCCGTCGTCATACATCAGCAGTGCGGAGGAAAGCTCTGACAAGGAGAATTCGGCGAGTTACGGCTACACTCCAACCCAAAGTCGCTCAATCACGGACGGCTTCAGCACCTTGGAAAGCTACACTCTGACTGGGACATACACTCCCACGCCTTCTTCTGGTTCACACACCCGTTCGACAGGAGAGGCTTCCAGCGATTTGCCAGAATCCACTACCAGTGTCGAAAGCGCCGAATATGTGACAGCAAAATCCCCTTCGGAGCTCTCCTTCGTCTCGCTCCCGACAATTCCTTCGTTATCAAGTTACGAGACCGCAGAAGTGTGTTCTGATTACCGGACAGCACCAAAATGTCCTTCTGAGACGTATTCCGATTTTGAAACTGTGGACGTCTGTCCTACAGAACCGCCACTCAGCGAATACATCACCGCGGAGGTCTGTCCAACGGAGGTTTCCACCGAGTATGACACGGCCCAATGTCGATGCCTTAAGCCCGAGCAAGAGCTGGAAGATAATGTCAGTATCGAAGCGCCATCTACAATCCCAACCATCCCCTCGTCTCCTCCTGGTAGTATCGTCGAAGAGTTACATGAGCCGCGCCCAGAGGACGTCCCATTACCGCCCTCTATTTACACCCCTTCTGTTGTATCGAGAGCGCTTACAGAAGTATCTGAGGTTACATCCGAGGTGTCCACAGAGGAGCCCGAGATCTTACCTAGAGAGCCATCGGAAGAGTCTGAGATTCTATCTAGAGAGCCTACAGAGGAACCTGACGTTCATCCTAGAGAGAGCACAGAAGAGTCGGATATTCTATCTAGGGAGCTCACAGAAGAGTCCGGATCATTTGTAGGTGATGTTGTTCTTTCGCCGCCGCCGACAGAACCTTCTGAAGAGGTGATCTCCTCTGAGTCAATTTTGGGCCCGTCGCCCATTCCTCCTTCGGAATCTTTTCAGTCGTCTTTGCCTTCCGTGTCAACAGTTTCGACTCCCACCGAATCTTCTGTGTCTCCCTCACCTTCTAGTCTTCTGACACCAACAGTGCCGTCAACCTTCGATCAGCCGCCTACACCTTCGAGTCCTGCAGTACCCGAATCGCTATGGGGAGCCGAATCTGATGCATCATACGACTCTTCTCTGCTCAGAGCATCACCTTCGGTTCAGTCTCTAGCACTTCCTGAGGGTCCTGACACGTCGTTCGAGACATCTTTCCTAAGACCAAGTGGTTCTGTTTACTCATCGCAAGATATGACGCTCCTCACTCCGATCACAGAGATCAGTACTGAATCATCGGTCACAGTCCCTTCATCGCCCTCGTTGTCGCTTACGCCGACGCCATCGACAGTCACTTTACCATCGTCGTCTTCTCCGTCCTTGTCTGTTACTCCGACGCCGTCGACTCTCTCTCTTCCTCCAAGTGTGCCTTCTCCTTCACCAATATCCACGGAACTCCCTGCTACCGCCGTGACATTGTCGCGCACGCCATCATCTGTATCCACTGTTTCGTCGGCTTCCATGAATTCTTCCATTTTTGATGCTAGATCACTGATGGATTTCCCTGCGTCAGAATACGAGCCCTCGTTAATGCCATCGCTGCTGTCAACGGCATCTTCTCCGCCACCCGAACCTGTACGTGATACTTTCCTTTAAAGTAGCTTCGACTCAAATAGCGTCCTGTTTCTGCAGGTGTCTCCTCCTTCCGTTCCTCTGCCACCTTCCCCCTCTGCATCTGCAGCACCCTCAGTGTCGCTGAGTGTCAGCATTAGCACCCCCCATGGTGATGCACCTTCTGTCGCGTCTAACATCGAGACCATTGCGTCGGATGCACCCAGCCACATTCTTACCCACGACATTAATCGACTTCTCCATTACTTGTACGAAGTGAATGAACAGAGGGGATCTGAGAACAGAGAGTTGTCTCAGAGTATTGAGGATGTCAGACGTCTTCTGGATCAGTTGCTGGCACAATCTGTGCCCCGGGAGGAACATCTCCGTGTCCCCGAGCTTCCACCTCCGGTACCTCGGAAAGACAGATCTGTTGGGGGAAGTAGCGTCATCTCTTCTGTGCGTTCAGTTCTGATAGGACCCCGTGAAAGTCGTGGTGTCTCTCCTATGTCTGTATATTCGCCCGCCACTACACCTGTGCCTGCCTCTTCGCCTGCGCCTACGCCTGTGCCTGCACCCATATTCGCACCTATCCCTACGGCTGTACCCCTTCCTGCACGTGTTCTGATGCCCACACCTTCACCTGCACCTGCACAACCTAGATTGGTCCCGATGCCTATGCCCATGCCTATACCTATGCCTATGCCTATATCGCTCTCGCCCCCTCCCGAAAGATTGGCGTCCCCCGATTCCTCTGTTGCTGAATCGCTATCGTTCCTTTCCTCGCATCATTCCGACGATCTCAGTTTGTTCGAGTCGGAGGAATATCCTGTGCTTCCGTCATCGCCCTCTTGGCCGTCTTCGTCTTCCTCGTCTTACGAGTCATCTATTGTATCATCTCCGTCTTCCCTGAGATCTCGTACACCAACGCCCAGTGACATTTCTGTGGGTACGGATGTGAATCTGGAGGTGGGCCCGGCACCACTGCCCGTTTCTCCAGCGCGCTCCGTCTCTCCCCCGCGCTCCATCTCTCCGGCTCCTTCTGCGTCGTCGAGCTACACTGCCCGGCCGGTACCTCCGGTCGATCTGACCCCGCTTCGTGAAGCATTGGCACACGTGCGGGATGAGGTCACCGCAGTCCGGGAGGAACAACTCGCTTCCAACCAGATTCTCCATCAATTACTGGAAAGACCGGCTGGTCCAGACATCGCTGAATGCTGTCGACGAATTGAAGAGACCATTCAGCGAATTCTGGACCAAGTACAGCGTTCCCAGCGCCCCGCACGCGATGATGGGTCGGAGTCGCTGTATCCATCCGGGTCTGATACATCGCTCTGGGAAACTCTGAGGGATGGAATAGATAGGATAAGGCGCGATTTCCCTCCAATTCAGATGCCTGTACCTGTCCGTGTGGGCCCGTCCTTGGATGAGACGTTGGCGGGAATATTAGCAGAGGGATCAACGCCGGCGCCACCACAAGTTCAACCACCTCCTCCCATCATCCCATTAACATATCGTCCTGGCCCTCGAATCGCGCGTCCGCGAAGCGCAAGCCCCGTTTACGAAGCTGATTTGCCTGCCCGTCCACGTACTTTCCCGGTCACTCGGCCTGTGATCTTCGACAGATCTGATCCACGACCCATACCAAGACGTAGACCATCGAGAGTCTTCGCTCATCCTCCGTCCGAAAGCGAACCGCCGTATGCGCCTCAAGATGTGCCTCCACGGCATGGTCCTCCGCGCCCAGCCAGTGAGCCTGATATCGATTTTCTGCAGCACGTATTGGATAACCGTCGAGGGCGTCGTCCAGATACCGATGGTTATTTCAACGGTAGAGTATGTATTGAATTTGCTGCTTTTGAATCAAGCTGATTGAAGCTCAGGATCCTATCATGCAGAGGCCGCCTACAGCGCCACCGGCTGTGACTACTCCGCATCCAACTGCACGACCTGGTGCTCCCCCTGTAATACCACCCGGTGTCGCTCCACAATTTCCTGCGCCTCCTGCTGGAAATTTTGTTCCTATGCCATCTGCACCACCGGTAAGTTGATCGAAGTATGTAATGATAGGCAACTGATGGGACTGCAGACTATCCTTCAGCTACCGTTCGACGATATCCTAACGCTTTTGAGGGTGAGTTCTGGATTCGGATGACGCTGACGTGTTAGTGACTCTTGTAATTTAGGACAATCGGTCCGCACAGCTTGCGTCGATCGAGAACAATCGAGAGATGATGAGATACCTGAGGGAGCTCAATGACTGGCTAGGCCGAGATGTTCGCGACCGCCACCATGAGACACGAGGAATCAACGCCAGGATAGACCACATTACAGATCTTTTGAATGAGCTACTGGTTGGCAGGCAAGGTAAGTGCGATATTGCTCGTGGTATGATCGACGTAAACCCAAATTCTGTAGGACAAGCCGGACCAGGACCCCAAGTCATGATGCCCCAACCCCCTAGTGTCATTCCAACGCCAGGGCCACACATGGAACAAGAACAGGGAGGCCTGCCCCCCGGCTTTGTACCACAGCCTACCGTATTAGTACCGCCTCCACCTCAGGTTTATACAGGACCAGTCATTCCTCCTGACTACAGTGACGGGGATATGACACCTTCTCCTCAGTATCCTCCAGTGATTCCAGGCACACCTCTCCGAGACTTCTATACGCCCGACATAGCAGTTATACCCAATATACAACCCCCAATCATACACCAACAACCGGACTATAGACCGCCCCCTCCCCCCGGTCCAATCTATGAGGGCGAAGAGCCACCTGTGATTCCTGCACCATTTTCACCTTCCGATGATTATGGTGATGATAGTACTGGTAGCAGTGGTAGCGATGTCGAAGTTCTACACGTCATTCCACCTCCTGGGGTTATTCCGCAAGTTATACATCATGAGCAGCAAGCTAGCGGCCCCATCACTGTTTTGCCCCCCACGGAGAGACCTGCTGTGTTCCCTGATCCTACAACTCGATCGCCAACGCTCACCTATGTCGAGGGCCGGCCCTTTGAACCGGAAGGACCTGACCACTCTCCTCCGCCAATACACATACGTGTCCCTACGGGGCCTCGCGTTGGATCTCCTCGACATCCTGATGCGCCTTCTGCTCAGCCTCTAACGGTGGTGCCTGATGAACAAGTGCCTCCATCTGCGGCTGTGGCACCTACAACTATAGTTATTCAGCCATCTGGAGCTGTCGCGCCTCCGATGACTGTCCTCCCTGGTGGACCGCCAGTTCCCCCAGGTGGTATACCGCCACTACCCGAAGTAATCCATGTGGACGCAGGCTCGCCGCGATTTTCTAGGGATGAGTTCATGGAGACCCCTCATGGAGAGCCGACAAGAGTCTTGATTCGTTCACCTTCACAAGGGAGTCATGGAATGCACCAGTCTGAGCAGAGCTCGAGGACGCCCCCACCCATCATTATCCAGCCATCACAAGTTCCTGTTCCAGGGGTGTCTATTCCTGGAGTTGCTGTCCCTCATCCCCCGATAATTGTCGAGGCAAGGTCGCCACGGCCTGTGACTCCTATCCTTGTACGGACAGAGTCACAGTCCGGAAGGCGCAGTCCTAGCTATGGGGGTTATGAGGATAGTCCGAACTACGATGTACCTAGATCCCCCATGCGGAGTCCTTCGCGGACTACGGTGTCGTACCGGCCTGAAGGAGGACCCAGTGGGGCCACGGTGCTCCGTGTGCCCGCGCCGATGTCCCGCTCGCAACCCTCTCGTATATCGACTGATCCGCTCATCATCCGCCTTCCGTCGTCGCGCGACCCGTACGATCGAGAGCGCGATCGGCCCTCCCGACCCTCCCGATCGCTTCATCCTTCCGGTCGCAGCGATCCGCACGACTACGGCCGCTCTGAGCGACCCCGCCGCCGACCAGATTCCCCGCTCGACGATTACGGCGACCCTACCATGCGCATCGCGGAGCCCGTCCCCCGACGTGCCCACCACGCCTCCCGTCCGTCCATCCGCACCGCTTCGCCCTTCGACGACTATGACCGTGGGGAGGAGGCCCACCGTCCGCCTAGTGCGGGGCGTTCCGTCCGTCGCCCGTCCATGTCAGTACCTCGCTCTCCTTCGCCCTCGAACGAGCCTGGAGAGCCCGAGTCTCCCGTGCTTCGAGTCCCCCTCCACCCTCAAACATCTCCTGTTGTCATCCGTACAGGCAGTCAGCGAACTCGCCTACCGCATGCGCATCCTGCTGGGCCGCCGACCATTCTCGAGATAGAGCAGCCCTCATCGCCGCGTGATCCCGGTTCTCCTCAAGTAGTTCAAATCCCCACACGCCGCGACACCAGGCGCAGCGATGGTAAGTTCATATCCAGTTTTGTAAGGCTGTCTACTCATGTGGAACAGTAACGCATCGCCCACATATGGAGTCCGAAGAACGCAGCGCCCCTGACGGTGAGACAATTTCCGTTGGTACACAAATTGTGCCTCATGTACTTTTGTGCAGACGAAGAGCGCATCCCTTTGTCGAGGACGCCCAGTGATGGTAAGTGTCTTATTCAGGATCGCTCATCTACCCCTGCCCACAAATTTTCTAGTTTCACCGTTCCATGAAGCGAACATACGGACGCCGGGCGGTAAGGAACCAGATACTTCTCTGGCTTTTACCCAATCCTAATCCATTTGTAGTATCCCGAGTCCCTACACGTGGAACAGCAACCGGGCGAGCAGCAACTCCCCCGAGTGAATATGCTGAGTCCGTCTTGCCCACGGTCACTCGTCCAGCCTCCGTTACCCCCGCATCGCTCCCAAGATCCACAGATCACCCCCATCGGCCCGAGGAGGAACTTGGTAGTCCGTCTGAAATGGGAGAACATGACTATGATGATGCACAATCGATAGATCCAGAGAGAGAGGAACGGCATGCGACCCTGCGCGGCGAAGGAGTTCCACCAAGGATGGTTCGCGAGCCCGGAATATCCATTGCTGCCTCGCCGCCTCCCTCGGATGCTCTCGTTCGTCCACACTCTGGACCGGGAGATCTCGGCTTCGAGGACGCCGAGCGGGAACGGCACGAACGTTTCATGCAACTGGAACGTCAGCTCACCGGTACACTCGCCAACGTTCAAGAGGCTGAAGAAAGACGGGATCAGAATTTCAGGGCAAACGAGGACGAGCGGGAACGGCTGTTCCTCGAACATGAGGATCGTCGTGCTGACGAAGCGCGGCAGCGCCAAGACGAAATGTTAAGGGACCTGGAAGACCGTATTGAAGATCGTCTCGCTGCCATAGAGGTGCCGATACCGGTGCCGCCTCCCGTAGGATACACCGAAGAGCCCACACCGCCAATAGCTGACGTTGGTGTTACGGAGCAATCACCCATGGATGAGCCCGCTTCGCCTGGTCCTGCGGTAGACACACAGTCTATGATTGAGTCGATCGTTACCGTGGCTCAGGACGCAGCATCGCGCCACGCTCAGGAAATTCTCGATACAGTACGTCTAGAGCGTGAGGAGCTGGCACGAGAGCGCGAAGTGGGACAGGCTGAACGAGAACGGGTACAGGCTGAAGCCGAGGCTGCTAGAGCTCGGCTAGATGAGGAGCGTGAGGCGCGGATCCGTGCTTTGGAAGAGGAACTGGCGACTGTGCGCGCAGAGTTAGAAAACGAGCGACAGCTACGCCTGTCAGAAGAGTCGGAACGACGCGAGCGCGAGCGGATGGAGGCAATCGAGCGCGACGAGTCTCTGCGGAACCAGCTCAGCGACCTATCGAATATGATGGCCGAGCAGCGCGAGGACTTCATACTCAAACGTGAGGAAGCGAACCAACGGTGGAATACAAAGGAGGAATGGATGAGCCAAACAAATGGTCAACTCGGCCAGTTACAGGAACTCATGCAGCAGTTCATGGCTGACCGGGCTGATGACATAGTCAGGCTAGAAGAGGAGAAAGCTGCGCATGCCAATGACCCGAGTCAGTAGTGACACTTACTAGCTGATGCAGCTTGCTAACTTTCTTTCTAGCAAATCAGCATCTACTTGACGAGCTGACGCAGTTCAGAGCAGACCAAGATCGGCAATTACGGGAATGCGTGGAAAGTGAGTAATTCTGTCCTGTACTAAGGTATTGCTAATGCTCTGTTCCTCACAGGTATGCGAGCCCAATGCATTGAGCAGCATGAGAGAACCATGGAGGCTGTTAGAGCTACCGCGCAAGAGCAGGTCCCATTCAATATTCAAGGCGTAAGTGATCCGTTGTTTTGGTGTATTCGCTACGGTATTGAGGTGTGTATCGACAGTATCTTGACGAGTTCAGTAAGTCCTTGGCAGAGGAGGTACGGATGTTGCTGGGAGAAGTGGGCCGATTGAGGGAAGAGAGACGAGCCATCCAATAGTGAGTGCATTGGTGCTCTGCTGTTGGCTGCTGTCTCACCGGACACCAGCGAGCTCGGTTGCCTTTTAACCATGAAGTCAAAGGTTGGTCCTGGAGGTGTCTTCGATCCGGAATGGTAAGTACTATATTACTACCTTACTGCTGGATTTCGCTGAAGGTGGGGGATTATAGGAGGCCACCGACTGGCGCTTGCGCTGGGGATCCTGGTGCCGCTGCGCCTCCCCCGCCTGTCCCCGAAGCCCCCCCGATGGCACCAGAAGAACCGGTCCTCGCACGTCCAGGGTGGCGTAGCGTTGTGCACCGAGGGACGCGTCGGTCACGGCGTAGTGCTGCGGCTGCGGCCCCACCGCCTGAGCCTCCCGTTGAAGTTAGACCGCCTGTGCAGTCTTGGGCGACCTGGCAACGTGAGTATTACCCTGCGAAGTGATGTTGGCGGCATTTAAATTCCGATTGTTATAGCGAATCCGGCTTTTGCGCCAACCCCTGCTCCTGTGGAGGCCACACTGCTTGTTCCTCCACAACCCAGCCCTGGGCTGTTCGGACCTCGCTCGCCCCGTGACTCTATTATCCGCTGAAATGACGAATTACACTACATTGACCAATTTAACGACCTAAACATGATGTGATGATACCACCCAATGATTTTATGGTGTTCTTGCTGTGATATCCTCCACTGCTGTTGCACATTTCTCTCTTCACGATGTACGATTGTGATGATTCATGGATATCCTTTTTTCTATGTTTATGCATTTCATATGTTGTATGCTCTTGCGCCATATTAGAATTCATTGATGTTCACTATGCTCGTGTATAGTGTCACTGTACGTGCCAGCGGCTGGATGAGAGGACTCTTCGACCATACATAACCACAGTCCGGGGCTAGGGTTGGGCGTTACATAATTGACTACTGGGCGCTTGGTGACATGTGGCGGTCAACGTGTGCCTTGCGTGTGGGCTATCGCTTTTACGCTTTATCGGCTAAGTACTTACATACAGTACGTGCTCTGTCTCGGACTGTCTGGAGTGGCACAGTGTAATTGTCAAGCGGCAGCATGTGTCCATGGATTTGCCGGAAACAGCAGTCCGCCTATTGTCTGAGCGTGGGAGTGTGATGGGCCACAATGAGCGGGCGTCTACGAGGTCAAAGGCAGACGCGGTTATTGTCTGCGACGGTCCACAAAGACAATTGAGACAAAAACCATGGCTTGCCCAGCTGTCCTCTATTCATCCCCTCCTCCTCTTCCTCTTTTACTTCTTTTTAGCGATGCGTCGCCCATCCGACCTCGCAGTGGACACCTCTTCGATGCCGCCTACGACCCCGACGACTCCGGATGCCTCTACTCTCAACCTCGAGAACACTATCACCACACTCGACGCTGATTCCACCCTTCCACAGCCAACTCTCCCAGAATGCCCCACTCTCCAACCATCTATCCGTCTACTCTTTTCCCTTGTATCCACTCGTGACTTCTACACTATCGTTCTCCCGGCCATCCTTACTTCCATGCTCGCGGGTGGCATTGCGCCCTTCATGACCTATGTAATCGGGCTCTCGTTTGATGCTTTTGCACAGTTCCCTACGACGCCCAACCCTCCAGAATCGGCCAAGACCACTCTCCTGCACGGTGTCGGCATCGCAGCACTCGAACTCGTTGCTCTGGCTGTCGGTGCGCTCGCGCTCAGCAGCATCACCTCCAGCCTGTGGATTTGGACCGGCGAGCGCAACCTGATGGCAGTACGCAAGAAGGTGTATGCGTCTGTAACGCGAAAGGATATGGTTTGGTTCGATTTGAAGATGGGTGCCGACGACTCTGTCCTGTCGACGGACGAGAGTGGTCCTCTCGGCGCTGGAGGTCTCATGGCGAAGTTTGCCAGGTGCGCTTTACCGATTTGTCCTTTGTCTGTGGCTTATTCTCTCTCTAGAGAAACTGATGAAGTGCGCATGGCCTCGTCTCTTGCGTCCGGCATGATCATTCAATATCTTACCACCTGTGTCACTTGCCTGATCCTCGCATTTGTACGCTCGTGGTCCCTCACACTCATTATTCTTTCGGCTGTACCCGTTCTCATGTTCATTCAAGCCCTGTCACAAGTGTTCGCCGGCGCATATTTGAACGTCGAGCGTGCACAGACAGCCACAGCGTCCACTCTTGTAGATCGCGCTGTTTCGGCGATCTCCACGGTAAAGGCATTCAACGCGGAGAATCATGAACACGACAACATCAGTCGTGTTCTGGATGCCGTGCAGACCGCGGCGAACAAATGCGTTACCGTCTGGGGCATTTCTTCAAGCTTTGCGCAGTTCACAACCATGGCCATGTTCGTTCAAGGGTTTTGGTTCGGGTCGAAGCTTGTGCGTGACGGGACTATTAGCCCAGGAGATGTTATGGCTGTCTTTTGGGCTTGCCTCATCGCAACAAGCAATCTCCAGATGTGCATCCCGCAACTGATGGTTCTCGGTAAAGGCAAGTTCTCCATGGCGGCATTACTTACTCTGGTGGAGTCTGGTGCAGCCGCGCCTTTAGGCCGTTCAAAATCGGTGTCATCCAAGCGACGAGTTCGCCTTCGCGGGATCACTCTCGAGAAGTGCAAAGGCGAATTCGAACTCGATAACGTCACCTTTGCATATCCTTCTCGGCCCACCATTCCCGTATTGCGGGACGTGTCGATCTTCATTTCCTCAAACGAGATATCGTTCATCGTGGGCGGTTCAGGTTCAGGCAAGTCGACGATCGCACAGCTTCTGCTGAAGATGTACGTGCCTCAGACGGGAGCGATCAAACTCGATGATCAAGAGATCAACTACCTTGACGAGGATTGGATGCGCTCCAACGTTGCCGGGGTCACCCAGAATTGCATCTTGTTCGACATGAGTGTGCATGATAATGTTGCCATCGGCCTTGCGTATCCGGGCAGCAACCGTCGCCCAGAAGATGTCTCACGTGAGGAGGTCGAGGCAGTATGTCGGGTGGCTCTCATGCACGACTTTGTTAGGGACCTGCCGGAGGGATATGACACCGCGCTTGGGAATGGTGGGGCCAATTTATCTGGTGGACAGAAACAACGGCTGGCTATCGCACGCGCATTACTACGCAATCCTCCTGTCCTTATTCTTGGTAAGTACATCTATCTACAGACAGACTTTTTTCTCGCTAACATCATTGAATCGACAGACGAGGCTACGTCCGCACTGGATGCGACCTCTCGTGTTCTTGTCTTCGCGGCCATCAAACAGTGGAGACAGAACATGACAACTATTGTTATTACCCATGACCTCTCTCAAATCGAGTCCGACGACTGTGTTTATGTCCTCAAGGATGGACAGCTCGTCGAACAAGGCTTTAGATCTGATCTCGAAGAAGACCCAAATGGCGAGTTCCGCGCGATACTCGATGCGCAGGACGCCTCAGGTGGCTTCCAGGAGAAGCATAACGAGCAACCCGAGTCTGTACCTGTCGAAGCAATCCTTGAACAACAGGATGCTGAGCTTCAAGAGGAACTTGCAGCTGTCAAGGTGCAGACGAAGGCACTCAGACACCAAAGTATCGCGCCCTTGACCCTTCGTCGACTCACTACAACACACTGGATGTTTGATGTCGTTGCTGACTTGACACGTCCCGTTGAGCTCCCTCCAGCAGTGGTGGTTAACAGCGATGAGCAGGACGTTCAACGGTTCATCCCCACTGAAAGGTCGACCGAAGAAAATATGACAAAGGGGAACCGTAGGAAGACCCTACATATTGATATCCCTTCTCTCGCATCGCCTCCCCCTACATTAGCATCCGCCAACCACCGATATAGCTTGCAATTTACACCTACTTCTCCGACCGTATGCTCGAACCGCTCGACGACGACGCTCTGGTCTCCAGCAATGATCGAAGACGACGATGAGTTCGATAAGGAGAAAGCAGCGATGCAGTGGATGGCAACTGAGGCGTCCAGCAAGCGTCGCGGAATGGGCACCTCGATGGACAAGCTCCCTATCAAGCGCGAGAGAACCCGGTGGGACGAGAAGCATCTAGCAGCTCTGACTTCTGTGAAAGTAGAATTGCCTGAAGCGCAGCAAAACGCATCTACGAAGGGCGGTCAGCAGTCGTTCTGGAGTCTCATTCGTGATATTTATCCGACATTACCCACCAAGCCACTCCTGCTTTTTGGGATCTGCGTATGTCTTGCGAGTGGTGCCATGACACCCATCTTCTCCTTCCTTTTGTCTCGTCTCCTTTTCGAAGTTTCCATCGGTGCGCGCGACGTATCAACTATCAACACCTACGGCGGGATTGTACTTGCCATCGCCGCTATAGACGGCCTTCTTATCGGCCTCAAGTATGGAATCATGGAGGTCATCGGAATGGCGTGGGTTACGCGTATTCGCAAAGCTTGTATCGCGCGCTTGCTCGCGCAAGACAAGAAGTGGTTCGACTGCACCGACAACAGTCCTCCGCGCCTTGTGCAGATCCTCATCAAGGACGGCGACGATGCGCGTTCGCTCATCGCTACCGTGCTCGCCCAGGCCGTCGTCGTCATCGCCATGCTTGGGATTGGATTGACATGGGCTCTAGTGTGCGGGTGGCAGCTGACCCTCGTCGGGTTTGCTATTGCGCCAGTGTTCGCGTTGACGATGGCCGTGCAGACAAACCTGGTCGCCAGGTGTGAGACTAGGAACAAACGCGCCCGTGAGGTGGTCGCCAAGGGATACTATGATGTACGTGTCTCGATTCTTTTCACTTAAGTTGTAACTCATCTTCCTCTTGTAGTCTATACTGAACGTCCGCGGGATTCGGGCTATGGGTTTTGAAAGCGCCTTCCAGGAGAAGTTCGACGCCTCAGTAAACAAGGCACTCTCCACAGGGGTGCGGGGCGCTTTTGTGGAGGGCTGTACATACGGGGTCGCTAGTGCCCTCATCTATCTTGCAGAAGCCTTATTGTTTTACGTCGGTGCCATTTTGATCGCTCGCGGCACTTATTCTTATTTGCAAATGGTCCAAACTCTCAACCTTGTCGTCTTCTCCGTGTCTATTGGCTCGCAGCTGATGGCGTTCAGTGAGTTTCTTTGTCGAATAGGATTTACATCTTGCTCATCGTTTGCCTCTCTATTAGCACAACGGATTGCCAAGTCTATTCAAGCCACCCGGGACTTCAATCAGTTGCTCAAGATCTCTACAGACACCGACGAGTCTCGTGGAGTCCTCCGTCCAGAAATTCGAGGCACTGTGTCTTTCAAGCACGTTTCTTTCTCCTACCCTGAACGCCCGGACGTTCCTGTTTTGAAGGACCTCTCACTCGAAATTGCAGACGGCGAATGTGTCGCAGTTGTTGGGTCGTCAGGATCCGGGAAGTCGACAGTCGCTGCTCTCTTACAGCGGCTATACGAGCCCGAATGTGGATCAATTACCATCGGTCACAACGAAGTACGATCGACGGATGTGCGCCATCTCCGAGACCACGTCACCGTCGTCAGCCAACATCCGAACCTATTCGACACTACTATCACCGAAAACATCTCTTATGGCAACAAGTCGCTCAGCTTCGAGGACGTGCAACGCGCTGCGATAGCGGCGAATGTCCACGACTTCATCGAGTCCCTACCAAAAGGCTACGAAACTCTTGTCGGCGAGAACGCGGCGCTGATCTCGGGAGGTCAAGCACAACGTCTGGCCATCGCCCGAGCATTAGCGCGTCCGGCGCACATCTTGATTCTGGACGAGTGCACGTCTGCATTGGACGCTTCAAACCAAGCTGCGGTGATGGACACGCTGATGCAAGCACGAATTGGTCGGACAACACTGGTAGTGACCCACAAGCTCCAAATGATGCGTATGTGCGACAGAATTGTTGTTGTGCACAATGGTGTCATCGCGGAGGAGGGCACGTACGAGGCTCTCATAACAAGAAATGGAGTCTTTGCGCAGCTCGCGAGCGGCGGTGAATGGACCGGCGACTAATGACTGAACGATCGCGACTCATGTTTTCTATTTTCACCTTTTTTTTTCCTGTACTCCTCGCCACTGTAGCACTGCTTTTCTCCTCGGGTTATATGGATCTTATAGCATAGTTCTGATACCTTATTACTTTCGATTTCCGACTGCTAGTTTCGACGGTTGACACTGACACCCACGTTCATTGTAACATCATAATGACTTGCACTGTATTCGTTCAGCTATGATTAGAGTTACGATTATGCAATCGACTTCGTTGTATCAATATTTTGCTGCGACTTTGCCTCATCAGCTGGGTGCACTGAACAGATAACGGGACAGTTTGCTAAAACTATTTATGCCCACACAAGTACCCATATTCAGAATCTGGGGAGACGGGGAAATCTGAGTAGTATAATACAATCTTATGTAGCTAGTCAACAAGGTCATAATGCTACGGCTGTCGGAACAGTGAATCATGCCTGCACATGCTTCTCGCCTCGGAGAAGTGCCCTTTTCTCTCGCCTCAATCGCTGGCTATCCTTTATACCGAATCCACGCTGGAAGATCATCTGCACTTCTTCCAAACTCAACCCTGCTGTCTCTGGGTAGCAGGACAGACAGAAGAGCCAGCCCAGCAAGCAGAGGCCCGCATAAAACCCAAACGCACCAGCCGGCGTGATCTTAGCCATGAGAGAGAGATAAGTGGAGTTGATAAGCAGGTTCGCGCCCCAGTTCGTCATCGTAGCCAGAGAGGTCCCAATGCCGCGAACTGTATCACGCATAAGCGGGGGAAGTGCATACATTATATCCTACTGACCTTCCAATCCGAAGAGCTCTCCTTGTTGCCAGGGTACATTGCCTAGACCAGTGGCGTACGAAGCCACGTAGAATATCATAGCGAGCAGCACAATTGCGGACCATGTTCTTGGGTAATGTGTTCCTTCGACGAGATTTCCACCAGTCTTGAGTGTGAGATCTGCCGAAATTAAGTTTCGTTCAATTTCCGCAATAATGAAGTTCGACATATGGCGTACAATGGAATGCAATGCTAGCGAGCGTTAGCCCCACGATCATGCCTGGAGCAGAATATATCATGATCTTGCGTCTGCCGATGATGTCAATGTACTTGAGTGCAAATAGCGTGAAGATAAAGTTTGTGCCAGACACAATCAGGCCGACAGCGGTGGGCTGGTTGAAACCAATCTCCTCGAACAGAGTTGCTGCAATGGACAATCAGTCGTGATGCATACGTCTCCAAGGAGCTCTTAACCAACCGCTATAATACATGAGCTAGGGTTCATGTGATATGTCAGACGTCAAATCAGTTACTCGAATGCGACCTTACCGTATTGAAACCACAAAGTTGCTGGAATGCCTGAAGACCGCATCCAATGACTGGTTGAAACAATCTCTATTCTCAGAACATTGGAAACTGAGAGACGAACTTACTAAGGGCACGACGATTGACGGGAAGGACTAGAATCATTCGACAGCGCTGAACCAAAGTTGTGGACTTCGTGATCTCAATGCTTTGGCGCACAGCAGAAGCCAATACTTTGACCTTAACAAACGTTAGGGCGCAGATCCGTATAGTGACGACACACACGTACCTTGAGATCAACTTGTTTAGGCGTAGCATGTGCGTAAATCTTCGACATCACGGTGTGCGCCATGTTGAGGTTGCCTCGGCGGATGAGGATACGCGCTAGACACGCTCGCCGTTACAAAAATATTCCGCATTCATAAGGACGATGCACATACGCGATTCGGGGAGGAAATACAGGAAGATGAACTGTAGCCCTGCAGGAACAGATCCCAAGCCGACCATCCATCGCCAGCCGCCGTGGGTGTTCTCAAAGGCAGCGTCGATTCCGTATGCGATAACCTGTCCACCTGTGATCGCTGCAACGTTCAGCGCGACCATGCGTCCCCGCAGGCGTGTGGGGGATAGCTCCTGGATGTAAAGTGGTGCTACACAAGACGCGATCCCGACACCGAACCCGATAGTGAACCTGCCACCGATCTAGAGCACCATTTAGAAAGACGTGGCACTGTGTGCATGGATTAGTATACCATTGCCCAGACGGTGTGGCACACGGCCTGACCGATGGCGCCTCCTATGAAGATGACGTCTGCGAGCGCGAGAACAGGTCTTCGCCCAAGATAATCAGAAAGCATGCCAGCAAGGAGACCACCTAGCAGTGCACCGAGCGTGGTTGCGGAAGTGATGAGCTCCTAAGCCCGAGAACCGACCTCAGCGGTGGTTGCAAACGAAAGTGAGGATACGACAGACCTTCTGTCCTGACGATAGTTCTGCGGGCCCGAGATCGGAGCTAATAGTAACCAGTGCGCCCGATATCACTCCCGTATCATATCCTGCAGCATTGGATGAGAGTATATATATCTGATGCAGAATTCAAATGTGCAGTGAGACCCACCAAATAGCAAGCCCGAGATACTAGTGCAGCACACGAGCAACCACACGAACCAGGTCGTCCGCTCCTCGCCCTCCACAATCACCGCGAGTTCCGATATCTCACCATTGGCATTTGTCTTCGAGACATCCTCCGAAACTTCGTCGTAGCTGCCGCATCCTGCCGATTCAGAAATATGCAGCCAAATCTGCACGGGTAGCGTACTCACATCTTCTCGTCTTTCAAGTCGTCCTTAAAGTCGCGCAGATCGTTAGACGTCCGATCCATGCTGCTGGCTGCGCCGGGTATCGTGGTATAGAGGAAGCTTAGGACGCTTCGGCCTCGCCGTCGACTGCAGAGATAGAGCAGAAGATAGCAATTTTGCTCCACTCGAAAAATGACTGATCTTATAGTGCTCCCGCATCAGCAGTCTTGTGGAACTTGATCGAGCAGATTGACGAGCAGATTGGGAGCCTCAGATCTCAGCGACGATGCGCCCTACACATGCAATTTGAGCGTATTACAGAAACAAGGCCCAGTTCTACCCGCACGAAGATACGACAAGAACGGTGAAGTCATCCGAAGAAATGTAACAAATTGAAGTTGTTGCAGCTCAGTAATGATGCGTCGTGCACCATTGTCGGCCGCGAGCGCTAGATCACGGCGGTGTATGGTCATGAGAACACGGCTCTTCGCTGCCAAGTAATCCCTACTCCGTCCCGCTCTTCATACTCGATCCCATCTTGGTATGAACGCTGCAGACAATTTGTCCACGTCTATCTGCTCATTTCCAAATTTCTGGCGGCGAGAAAGTTGGATCTCGGTGCATTCCATCTATACGCAAGTTGCCTACAAATGTTTTGATGTGATCGCTGACCAGTATTTTTGTCCTGCTATGAAAATGACGATAATCTGGACTCTCTGGTCCCAGAAATTCCTCCAGCATCTCAAGCGTTCCTCGGAACGTCATCGGAAAATTTATGATCACCTGAAGAACATTTCCCTTGTCATTGACCTTACCGTTCATTTCCTAACCCTTGAGTATGTTTACAAGGATCAATCACAAACGCGATCAACGAACCATATGTGTAGCAGGTCTCTAGGCTATGATACGATCACTAGATTGCATAAAAGGGGACAAGTATGTGAAGGTAGATTTGTGACTCATTCAGCCTATCATGCAACTTATCATCATCTTGATAGTATTCCCCAGCACCGACTGACGTTCACAATGGTGTCCTCATAAACGCCACCGGGTTTCACAAGTTGCTCAAAAAAGTCAACATTTCTTCAAAACCCGCTTGGAAATGTTGCTCGTGAAGAGTCAAGGTAGACTCTGCCTCTTATCTTTGTACAGACTCCAATATCTACATGACATTCGCTGCTACCGTCCTCAATCCTCCGGACGTTAATAACTCAAAGCGCATGTATACAGTGCGTTATTACAACCCATAGCCGGAGCCTACATCTTAAGCCATCAATCTCGCTCACCAACCCGCGGAATCTGTGTCCACCAGAAATCCTACTCAGACATCATATATGTATCTGTTGTATTCACGACAGTGAGCTGGTAAACCGGGACTCTGGTACACGGTTGTCGCGGGAGAAGCAGAAATTAAGAAAGCCTCATGCGGAGAATGCAAGGAACGAACGATAAAAACGCAATTCGACAGGGGCTAGCGCTGGTCGACTGGAATATGAACTTACGGCTAGTCATAGCAGCCTGTCGTCTACAGCGGATTCACATGCATGATCCGAGCAGAGACGCGGTGCAGAAGGATCGACTACTAGGTGTGCTCAGCTTCTGGAGATATGTTGTATACTTGGGCATATTCTCGGATGACTGTGGTTTGTTTTGGGTTCAAGAAGTGTACACTTCACAACGTTCTTCGCGTCTGACGATCTATAATGATAAGATGATGTCATGTAGTAAAGTACATGCCGTATATACAGCTTGCTATATACTCTGAATGTAAACGTCAAAGAGCTCAGAGTGTCACTTCGTCGCAATCCAATGTAGAACGACTTGCCATGGCCGATTGATCAATTGCTGGTGATATTCATTGAGTCTTCCATAAGTTTAGCGATGATCACGACCAGTGCGTTAGCCATACCAGGACACAGCTTGTAGCAGACATGATGCAATGTTCCAAGAATCATTGGCTCACAAAAAATAATCCAGACAAGACACTTTGAAGGTCTTTCCGCCTAAGTCAGCGACTCGATCAGCGAAGTAGAACATCGACAGCTCCTAATGGGAACGTCCTCGACTTGCACCAACGCTGATTGATCCACCTCCACACGTATCTCCTTCGTCGAGCAGCAAATTGGCTGCTTCGATGAAGTGGTACACTCGAAGCATTGAGCTTAATTGACAGACGGCCCAGACACCAGCGGATAAGAAGCAAGAAGCGAGGAGCCAGGGGCCAGGGACCATGTTCAGAAGATGAAGCTGAATTGCCAGTCTCACCTATCACATGAATTGAACAGTAGAGCTTCCCCCCACACGCTAGAGGCATGTATAGCACGCTTGAAACAGGCTCCATCCATGCGAGGCTGCAAAGCGGAGTAGTAGATCGATTTTTAGCGCCGGACTCAACAGCACATCCCTAGTTGAATCACATCTCAAAGAACTCCTCCCCGCAGTTCCACAAGCCCCGAGTTCAGCTGCCCCAGCAAAACATTAGAGAAGGGACGTGGGGACATGCATGTGTTTCGTGTCCCATATGTAAGCTTCTCTTCAGCTTCTGAACTCACCTGATCACAATTATAATAGTACACTCACTCACTGATCATTTCACGGTCAACAAGAAACCCGAAATAACGACATACCCGGTACAGGCAGACCAAAAAGGAGCTCTAGGGGGCATCATCGCGTCTGTCGACCGTCATCTTCCGGGCTCCAGGGCTTCATAGGACGATGTATTATCCATCTTGTGTACGCCAGTACAGAGATCTCGGCTGGACTTCGGAGCGCAGGGAGGAGACATGTTGGGGGTGTCATCCTTCTTTCGTGGAGCCTGATGTGCATCAACCCAAGGCGATTGAATTTTGGTCAAGACTCTGACTTTGGCGCACTTAATTGGGGCCAGTGACAGCGATTGCATCCCACAGCAGCAGCAGTGTGAATGTGACGAGGTGCGAAGATCGAGCAAAGAGGAAGAGGTTCGAGAAGTACACACTAATGGCGCCAAATAGCATAGTACCCATTCAGATAGTGTAATAATTCCAATGCTATCTCCTAGCATATTATATTTATTTACTTAGTGTTGTAGGTAATCTTGAGAGTAGTATGCCAGCAAATCATGCGAATCGACAAGCCTCAGTCTTGCGTCCTGTCATATATCCTTGGTTCATCCAATCTAGCACTGCACTCGCTTGTCGACGATCATGATATACCCTGCTGAGCGAGTCTGAATCCGCCAAAAATGAGGCCTCGCTTTCCATTGACTGTCGCTCTGGTCCCACATGTATGCGGCAGAAGTGGCTGTTCTCCTACAAGCTGCTGTCTGTCCATGGTATTGCGCTCGAACCCTCCCTTGCGGTCAGTATGAAGAGCTTCTTACAGTCACTGCCAAGTCTTTCTCACTCATCGGCTGTAGAAGAGAGCGAGTGGACATTGATCCGTAATGTGCTTTGATATCTACACATCTACGTCGTTCTCCGGCTGCGAAGGAAATTATATTATTGCTATCGATGATTCTGGCATTGAAGATAAAGTGACAGTTGGATGTGATTGGGATGGATCTTGGGCTCCCGTGGTCCAGCTGGTCAACACGTTGTATGTGCGTGGCTGACGGGTAGAAGCATCGACCGTGCATGGCCCCGGCTCGTCGTCATAAGACACCCAACTACTGGTCTCGAGCTATTCTGTCGCTAATCTATCCCTTGTCCTGGAGACGCCTGCGTCGCAATCCGCATCCTTTGTACCACTGCATTCATGCCGCTGTCAATGATGAGCCCACTCTCGTCGCCTTCAAACTCTAGTCGCTTTTCCGATGTGCTCACCTTCCCACGCAACCAGAGCATGTCGGAATTCGAAGTTGAGCATTCGTCGGGCAAGGTACCAGTCAGTCCTCCAAGGTCACGGAGGAGAAAGGCGTCGCCCGACCTCGATAACGAAGCAGCATTCCGAGCCAGTGTCTCTGGTCTAGTCGCTGCAAAAGCACGGCCATGTACAGTGTCGGGACGTATACCCATTGACCCTGCGATTCTTACATTATTTTTCCGCTCGAAGGTGAGCCATTATGCCTCAGCAGTACATAACTCACTGATTGAGGAAGTAGAGCTGCATCACCCATTCAGTGGACTTTCCCATTGATATCGATCATGATATGCCCCCAGCGCTGGACGTCTTAATTGCTGCGTGTCAACCACACCCTCCAGGCATTGATGGTATTTCCTATCCGGGAAATGAGTCCTACTTTTACCCTAGGGAGCTCCCTCTAACAACGACACTTGAGATTGCGAACCATCCTATTCTTGATGCCGTGCGCAGTGTTCTCTTCCCTACCCTACCAACAGGACACTATCTCACTGCCATCCGAGACAAAGTCGAAATCGTTCTGAAGGGCAACAACATTCCGATACAGCGCCGGCCCAATGACAATCGGGTGGCAACGATTATTGTTACGCTTCCCGTTCGCTTTCGCGGGGGTGCATTGATTGTACGGAACCCGAGTGGCTTGGAGGAGCGGTTCTTTGGCCGAGGCGGGAAGGTGGGCGATATGGAATGGACAGCATTTTATTCGGACTGCGATCATGAGGTCGATACCGTGCAGAAGGGGTGCAGGGTAACGATTAGTTATGCCGTGCAACTGAAGACCTTCGGCTTTGGCCCAGCTGCGGTACAGCCAGACCCGTTAATATCGCCTAGCGATAAGTTCTTGGACATGCTCTCGCCAATCCTGAATATGTCCCGAGGGCGTCGGATCGCCTTCTATCTCACAGGAGATTACAGCGTAAACCCCGGTGAGGTGCTCGCGGAGTCCCTCGTGCCCAACGTAAGCTTCCCAACCTTCCATCCTTCGCTGTCGAAATGCTGACTACAAAGATTCGCAGCTCAGAGGGGGCGATTCATTACTCTATCACGCAATCAAACTGTACAAACTATCTCCCGAGCTGCGCTGGACGGCTGGAGGATACATTTGGCCGGTTGATCAGTCTGTCGAATTTGGGGACGATGTCAACGATAGCCCGACGCCGACGCATGTCCATATGCCCGTCTCGATGGTCAACGGAGGGCCCATTCCGACCATGCGTGGAACCTTCAGCTCATCTGCATCCGAACCTGGCGAGGAGGAAGAAGACGACCTTCGCACACGGGTGGAGAAAAGCGGCGCGATCCCTCTCTCTGAGACGGATATCATGCTACTTCACGATGTCACTGTACAGGGTCCGATAGCAAAGGAGAGGGTACCGTTCGTGCAAGCAGGCGAGATAGAGAAGTTGGTCGTAAACGTCTTGATGGTGGTTTTCGTCCCGTGAATGTACTATGGGCAATTGACTTATTCAGTTTCCTCGGTGTTTATGCGATGAGGTCGGACTTCTGTACATTTTTGTATCATGAACTTGTTATATAGTACTAGGGGTCGTATTCAACCCTGCCCTTTACTTGGAACTCGATGTCGGCGACTGTAGTCGCCGTGCTCACAGGTGACACCGACCGAGGCTCACTACCCAATCACAATAATCCTAGTAAATGTTTACTTGTGATTTGTCTAATGCGGCGCCTATTCGGACCAAGGCGCCTCGGCCAAAGCCGGAGTCTGGTCACCGTTGTCGCTGCTCTTTCCTCAACGTGTTCCTCGACGAGCACGCTGGTTTTGTTGTTGATTGTCAGCTCGAGCGCCGGCGAGCACCGTCTTGTCGTCCTCTGTGGAGATTAAGAGATGTTACGGCTGGTGTCGTCGGCGTCGAAGCCCACCTCAGTGGGTATTTTGACTAAAGTCGTCGCCCCGTCTTGTTCGTCACTTGCAGGTGCGTCAGTCCACATCCCTCCACGCCTTGCAATTCTAAAATTTGGTAGGGCGAAGATCATTTGCTTCCACGTCAGCACGACAGGCGGATATTACGTTGACTGTAGATGGGAAGGAGGTTACGGTACCTCAAGGTACGCTCAGGTGATGTTTTAATAGTAGAATGATTTGATGCTATTTACTGTGCAGGTTCGGCCTTGATACAAGCATGTGAGGCCGCTGGTGCCACAATTCCGCGGTGCGTACATACCGAGTGTAGGCTTTTACCATATTTTGACGGATTTTATCTCAGCTTTTGCTATCATGACCGACTAGCTATCGCCGGAAACTGTCGGTATGTCTCGGCATTAATCCTTTTCTTCGTGGATCCTTATGTATTGCTGTAGTATGTGTTTGGTTGAGGTCGAACGATCACCAAAACCCGTCGCATCATGGTGAGTTTTTCTGTTATTAGTAGAGTGCTGTTGTACGACCAAGTTTCATTTGGGATGGCTACCATTTGTATAACTCCATTTGTGTCTGTCTCTTGACCGAGAATGATCTACTGTCTCGTCGCGATGGGATCGTCGTTCTTGACTTTCAATAGCATTCTAGATACTGTAGGACATATGCTCCTGGGGACACATCGCCTTTCAATACGTGTTGTGGAACAATACAGCGAGGGCTGACATCTGTTATAGTGCCATGCCCGCCATGCCAGGTGCAAAGGTATTTACGAACACTCCCCTTGTTCACGAAGCTAGGTATGTTTTTTTTTCTAATACTGTACACTATAATTCACGAACAATTTGTCCAGAGAGGGTGTCATGGAGTTCCTATTGGCCAATCACCCTCTTGATTGTCCTATCTGTGATCAGGGCGGTGAATGCGACTTGCAGGATCAGTCAATGCGTTACGGCGCAGACCGTACGCGTTTCCACGAGATTACTGGCAAGCGCGCAGTCGAAAATAAGGATCTGGGACCCCTAGTGAAGACATCCATGAACCGGTGTATCCAATGCACACGATGTGTGCGTTTCGCGAACGAAGTTGCGGGTGTAGAGGAGCTTGGCACCACTGGTCGTGGAAACGATATGCAGATCGGGATGTATGTGGAGAAGACGATGGACTCGGAGCTATCCGGAAATGTTGTTGACCTCTGTCCTGTCGGTGCGCTCACAAGCAAGCCGTACGCATTTCACGCCAGACCATGGGAGCTGAAGCACACAGACTCGATCGACGTTATGGATGCAGTGGGTTCTAACATTCGCGTGGATTCACGCGGGGTTCAAGTCATGCGCATCCAACCCCGTCCAAATGACGACGTCAACGAGGAATGGATCAGTGACAAGACTCGCTACGCTCACGACGGCCTTCGATTCCAACGCCTGACGAATCCTCTCATCAAACAGGGTGACCGGTTTGTTGCTGCGTCGTGGGAAGACGCGTTGTCTGCCATCGCTAGCGGGCTTGCTAAGTCTGGAGCTCAAGGAGATGAAATCCAAGCGGTTGCTGGTCACTTAGCAGACACAGAGGCAATGGTTGCTCTCAAAGATATGATCAACCGTCTTGGCTCCGACAACCTGACACTCGATTCAGTAGGTGGCCATGCCGCTCCCGTGCACGCCGTAGACGTCCGATCGAATTACCTTTTCAACTCGACGATTCCGGGTGTTGAGCAGGCGGATGCTATTCTCTTGGTCGGAAGTAACCCTCGTCATGAGGCTGCGGTGCTCAACTCGCGAATTCGCAAGAGCTGGCTGCACACTTCCCTTGAGGTTGGTTTGATTGGCGAACGCGTGGACACTGCGTATGGCTACGATTATCTGGGCGCGGACGCAAAGGCGGTCGCGGATTTCGTTGCCGGCAAGGGTCCTTTTGCGGAGAAATTTAAGGCGGCCAAGAAGCCTTTGATCATCATTGGGAGTGCGTTGGCTGAGCACCCAGACGGTGCGGCGGTCTATAATGCTCTGGCTAAGTTTGTGGAGAAGAACAAGAGCACCCTTTTGACTCCGGAATGGAACGGCTTCAGCGTTCTTCAGAGGGCAAGTGTTCAGTTCTATTAAACCGGTGTGATACTGAGGGCAAGGCCAGGTTGTTTCTCGTCCTGCAGCGTACGAAGTTGGCTTCGTCTCTTCCAGGAAAGCATCCTCTGTCAAGCCAAAATTCATCTATCTACTAAACGCGGATGAGGTCGACCCGAAGTCAATCCCTCGTGATGCCTTCGTTGTCTATCAGGGCCACCACGGTGACCTCGGAGCGCAGCTCGCAGATGTCTGTCTTCCCGCGTCGGCATACACAGAGAAGTCGACGACGTGGGTTAACACGGAAGGTCGCTCGCAGCTTGGTCGCGCAGCCGTTCCACCTCCGGGTGCATCGCGTGAGGATTGGAAGATTATCCGGTACGTTCATCTCGTTTGTTATCTATCTTACCGAATCTCATTGATTATGGGTCAGAGCTCTCTCTGAGGTTGTGAATACGCCTTTGCCATATGACGACGTCCTCAGTTTGCGTGATCGCATGTGGGAAATCTCGCCCACCCTGGTTCGCTATGATACAGTCGAGTCCACATCAGTCGAAGTGGCCCTTGCCGGGTTGAAGACATTGGCCGCTGCAACTGCAAGTGCGAAGGTGTCGGGCACACCCTTTGTCAAGCCGATTAACAATTTTTATCAAACCGACCCTATATCTCGAGCGTAAGTCATTATGTGTCTTCTCAAGTAGAGCAGTATTGAAAATATGAGTAGATCTGTCACCATGGCTCAATGCACGCGTGCCTTCGTCAAAGGGGAAAACTATGGCTTCAGTGAATTGTCCAGTGCTTCGGAGGCGGCGTATGCGTAGTTGATCTGTATCTTACTGCTCTACAATGTCAATAAGTATAACTTTCAGGATAACTACTGTGCGAATGTTAGGACATTTTGTATGGCCACGTGGTGATTGGTTTACCGTGTGATTTCCGCTTTGGGTAAACTGCGGTGGTCTCAAGAGTCTGCAGCGGACGGTTGGGTCAGCTCTTGTATTCCCATTACTGCTAGGCTGCGTCTCCTCATTCCTGCCTCTGACCATCATGAGCTCGCCTGCCTTTTCTCGTCCCCCTGTCTCTGAATCCCACCCTTCGAGTCTAGGTTTTCATCGTCCGGCCACGATCTCCGAACTTGCTGCCCGAGCTCAAGACAACCTCTGGGACCCAAACAAGGGGATCAAGCACTGGTTGAGGACCGCAGAGAAAGCTCGTAAGAATGGAGCTGATCTTGTCGAGAGAGGAGATTATGAGCGAGGCTTTGTGGAATATGCCAAGGCTGCCACAATCGTTCTCGAGAAATTGCCCACTCATAGAGACTACCACAGTCTTCTAAACCATGACCAACGTAATAATCTAGGCATGGTGAGTGTCTTCCTCCCCAGCCGTCTTTCAACTGTGTGCTCCGAAAGCTTTATTTGCCGCACTATGTCCTTTCCGGCGTGTATTCTACTATGGGCCGCGTACGCGTTACTCCGGCCTCGAGGTGAGACTGCGGGAGAGGTTTAAATCAAGTTGCCGTAGTTCGTCGTCTCAGGTAGTGGGTTGTCGAGATTCACTTGATTTGAATGCCTCACGGAAAAAGATACCACAGTGGACCTCGTGTTAACCTCTGCGTAAATCGCTTGCCGGGCAAATCCATAGGCAATCTTTCGTGCACATGCGTATGAACGGCTTAGTTGCCACGTCCTTTCTCTCATGTTCAGACTGTTGTCGAGATCCATTGGGATATTCCGAAGTTATTAGCATTTAACGGGGTGTTCTTTTTTCTCGATCGCATCTGATTGTGGCGAGTAAGCCGCTCATACCCTAGAACTATTCGCCCGTACGCATACTTCTTCCCGATGAAGGATTGCCTCAGACGTTCGACCTGGAACACTTCTGTCATTATTGGAAAACCAGCGAGGTACCTCTTGATCGGGTCCATTCGGTGAACGCAGAAATTCATCTGCACTGTTTGCTGCGAAGTCGATGCACCAGAAGCATTATTTGTTCATGGCTCATGTGATTGGTATTCCGTATCTGATCGCTGCACACAATCGCATTTATGGCTACTAACTTGTGATTGTTAGAATGGACAAGATATTTTGGATCACCTGAGCCAGCTGAAGCCAGTTTTGGTGGAGCGCTTTGAACAATGGCAGGCTGATCAAAGTGCTGCAGCCAGCACAAGCCGACCTTCCACCTCAAGCTCCATCCACACTGATACCATGAGTCGAGAAGACGTTTATCGACGGCGGCGTGAAGAACAACAGGAAGAACGCGCGCGACATGCACTTGAAGCCGCTCAGAGAGAACAAGACTGGCAACGGGACGAGCACGCACGGCGACAAGCTGAGGAGAGAGAGAAACATGCGAGGGAGGAAGGTGCTTGGGCCGCACGGC